AACTACTATCTCATCTATCCAAATGGACAACCTACTTTGTGCCAAAGCATCTTCCACCTAGAATGTTTGAGGACTGTTATCCCAAAACATTCTCAATTGAAATCAAGGAAACATTACTTCTACTGTTGCAACACAAAGGTTTTTATTCTTCTGAAAATAAGACATGATCCATATCTTTATAGTACAAATTAATAACTTATAGCATAAGCAACATAGTAATGTGGAATCTTAATACAATAAAGTTTATTTCCACTAAAAGACAAAATGTAGTATTAGATTTTAATGTTTTACAATTCCATATATTAAAATGTACTGTTATATAAATTTAACTTTTAAAAGGCTGTCTTTCATCAAGAAAGTTTTGCTGCTGGACAATGAGAAGTAACTCACTTAGTTTCACTAAGTTCTTGGATCCAAATTTAAGAAGCTGGGCTTCTATTTGTTTGAAAATAAAATGAATTGTCAAGCATTCCTCACATCATATTTGGACTTTCCCATGTTTAATTTATGCTTTACTGTGTTTGACACGTTTTATTAAATTACTTACTGAGAAATGTAAAGCATATTTCGGTATGCTTTCTGCCCAGTATGCTACATCCAAACCTAATAGGTTTTTTTTTGTTGTTGTTTTGTTTTGGTTTTTTTGTTTTGTTTTTAAGACAAGGGAAGGCAGCAAGTGCAGTTCATATTCTTCTGATATGCTTCACAGACTGTAACCAATTATTTTTCATACAAATGAGCATAATTTCAAGAGAATTAAAGTGTAAGCATTCTTGATGGCTTGTGGCCTGTTTTTATTCTCTTTGGAATAAGGTAGTATATATAAATCATGTCATAAATATATTATATGCATCATATAAATCACTTTGGGGCCAATATACAATTACTAAGTTACTAGAGTAGTTTACAGAAAATAAGAAAAATCAGGAGGATCTATATTTTTTTTTAAAGACAAGACTATGTATCTTTATATTTTCGGAATAAATGGAAGCTGTATAAATATGCTCTACTTAAGATACTGCTATTTCAGTACTTTAAGATTACTAATCTGTCAAACAACTGCAATGGGGCACTGCTAACTTGACATTCAGCAAACTGCTGAAAAAAGTCATTATCACCTGGATCACCTGGCGTGTTTCTTCAGGTTTTCCCAAGACTTCTCCAAAGGAGAAGGCATAATTTAAGGAACTCTGAGAATATTTAGATTTTGTAATTACAGCGCAAGTATTGGAAACAGTTTAAAAACAAAACAAAACCCCAAAGAATATTAGAACTGAAAGTGAAAACCAAGCTAGGCTGGGAGACTTTGAAATACGAACAAACAAAAATCTAGAGTTCTCGTTAAATGACAATATAGGAAAGAAAATGTCAGCGGCTAGTCCTTTCTGGGATGGCCTCCTGTAGCTCAGTAATTAATAATAATAATAATAAAAACAGTAGCAGGGTGGCTCCGTCTCTTGTACCACAGGCAAAGGCTGGAAAAATATATTTTCCCTACACCCTCAAAGTGGAGCAGCTCAAGCAGCTCGACTCCGAGGAACACGAACAACCAGCGAAGGAGACAGACGGGTCACTGCTTTGCTCAGGCACAAACTGCAGAGAAGGAAGTAACGAGTACCTGTTTGCCTCTCCCGAATGCTGGCCGTTGCCGCCATCTTGCTTCCCACCATCCACTGCCCGGCTGGCACTGGGAGCCCGAAGATGACGTGGCGCACCTTCCCGCCCCGGAAGCAGAATCGGGGGCGGGCGTAGAGGGCGAAGACCCGCCTCCTACGCCCCAGTCCTCGGCCCTCGGCCCAGCCATTGGCGTTTCCGACCAATCGGGGGAAGGCTTCGCTACTCTGAAACTGCTGCTCAGGGCAGGTATGTGAGCTGTAGAGCCAGAGGCCTGATGCATGTGCGCGCTCTTTAAGGATTTAAAAGCTCGTAAAAAAAAAAAATCGCAGGACTAAAGTAAACGCTGGGAGCTGTGTTTCCTGGAGTCCCACTACAACAGAAGTGCCCTTTCCCTATTTTCTCTGAAAACAAATACTTTACTACAAACGCTGCAAGTTTCTTAAGCTAATTTTAGTCGGCTAGGGTGTAAAATCGTGGAGGAGCCAAATGGCAGAATTTCTTGCATTCAGTAGTAAAAATTAAAAACCACCACCATTATTCTGAGAGGAAGGAATCTGGATGATCACATCCAGGTTTGTTACATTTTAAACCCTGTGGTTATAAAATAAATATCGACCATTTATATAATAAGACTTTTATTGAAGTCAAAAATATATACAATGACAACTTACTACCAATTCAGCTACTTCACTGATGCCATTTCTTTAAGAGGTTAATTTTGAAGCAATCAGATTCTGAGATAAAAATCACATCTTCAAAAAGTTTGGCTTTCAAAGTTACAAATAAAATTTTTATATTTTTAAAATCAAAATTACATCTTAGAATAAAAATAGGTGCTCTGATAAAAAGATGTTTATTTTTATGAAATGATAACATGCTATTCTATTTTTTCTTTTTTTTTAACTATCGGGAAAATACCTTACCCAGGACCTTTTGCTTATGGCTGACACAAGCATTAAAAAATAGAATGTTTACTGGGGTTTTCTTCAGTGCTATTACTAATATTTGAAAACTCTTCAACAATCTAGGTTGTGGTAATGAAAATTAAGTTTCTGCTTTAAGGAAGGATTCTGGATTCTAGTATCCATGAACTATGAAACATAATGGCTTTTCCAACTTCCAATGAGTTCAATTATAGTCACCTGATCATTCTCACTTTTAAGTACAAATTTGGCATTTAACCGTTTAAGTCCCGCCACAAACTTCTTCCAAGGCTATAAGGCACATCAACATAAAATACTAAGACAATGCTAACATTTATACAATGTGTTTTTGCCCAATATTGTGTAGTGTGGAAGAACAATACAGTCCACAGAAGAGTAACTATATAAAGTTGCTATTGCAAAGCTAATACCAATCTTGGTCTCATACTTAACTTGTATTATAAAAATCGTGGCTTCAGAGTGTTAATTTACTGTAGCTGTGTACATCCAACTGCAGAATTTTTGTCTTAAATAATTAAGCCACATTAAGGGACAGTTTTATCATAGAATAATAGCCCAGAACAATTTACTTCTTAAGAGTTCCTGAGATCTCTCAAAATTGCAGAGTAAAGGATCTTGGAACTTACCCACTTTAATAAGATTAACCTTGTAAGTGGACTATTTGGTTAAGAGGCTAACAGGAGTAGGGGAGGGTTTAAGTATAAGATAATAAGGAAAGTGAATATAAAGTTCATTACATACATGCATACATTATGTGTCATGACACACAGTTTTGTTTAACTATTATGCCAATGAAAAAGAAAACAAAGAGTATCTGTATCAAAACAGAATTATGTCCTTTATGATTCTTGACCCAGCTAGAGACATCCGAGGGGAAGGATCCTCAATGCAGTGAACAAACCTGAAGGGCATTTTCTTAATTAATGATTGATAGGAAGGGCCCAGCCCATTTTGAGTGGTGCCAGATCTGGGCTGATGGTCTCTGGTTCTGTAAGAAAGCAAATGAACAAGCCAAGAAGAGCAAGGCAATAAACAGCAATCATTTATAGCTTATGTGCCAACTCCTCCTCAAGGTTCCTGCCTTGACTTCTATGAAAAAGAGTGACACCAGGAGTGTAAGCAAAATAAACCCTTTCCTCCCCAAGTTGCTTTTTTCACCGTGTTTCATTACAGCAATAGTAAACCTAAGGTAGATTCCAATAGTTATGTAATTTAATTTATACAAGTACTTCACATTTGGTGGGATAAAAATATTTAGAAACTTTCTTGTAAGATTTCATTCCTTTTTTTCTTAAATGTTTGGTGACAGTGGACGAAACCAGGTCTTACACAAGACAGCTAGGCAAACCACTCACTCTACAACTAGGCTATATCATCAGCACTATGCGTTTTAATTATATTTTAAACAGACTGACAGGTAACTACTTCTCACTACAATATCTGGTACACAGTAGGTATTCAGAGTATATTTGGAAATTGGAAAATGGTCAAAATCAGAATTGAAAGTTGGGTCTCTTTCAAAGGGTTAGAAAATTTCTAAGTAACAGATAACATACATTCAAGTAATTCATCAATAAGTATGCTCCCGGGGTTTACACTGTATTATTTGAAGGCTAACAACAATGTAATAGTAACCATGTTCTTACAGTTTAGTATGATTGGATACTAAAGCAAAGTCACTGGGAAAACTTACGGTTTTATATCCCTTTATATAGCATTTTAACATTGAATATGTACAGATTCCAAGAGCTTCCAGTATTATTAGGGGGCATGTAAATGCAGACAGAGACCATATATTCAAGTAATTCATCAATAAGTATGCTAATACAGGCTTGTTACTTAACTAAATACAAAACTGTTTCCTTCATAATTTTGAAACCAAGTATTTAAAAGTCAATGTAAGAACTATGCTATTAAGACATGCTGTAATAAGCATGACACAGTGAGACTGCAGTTCCTCTGATAAGCCTCAAGTGTACAGATTAACCCGCAGACCATGCTAACAAAACCTTCCCACCAGAATACCTTTTAAACTCTGTTTCACATTAAGAAATAAGTATCTTGCTATTATTGATACCTCTCACCAAGGTCATATTGACAGATACAGTAAATGCACTCACAGCAAAATACTACTTTTATTTGTAGGAACCCTTAGCCCAAGGCCCCATATCCCAATACAACACTATAAGAGGGTTTTGCTAGCCTAATTAGTATTCTAGGAAAAAAATTAATTCAAAAATACAAGTCATAATATAGCATTTGAGTTGTATGGATTTAACAGCCTTTAAACATTGTGAGAACTAAGTAGGTTAAGGCATAAAGATCCCATTTATCAACACACTTGCATGAAAGCTGCTTGCTGAGGCTTGATAGCTCATTTAGTTAATTTTGAAAATCTAGCAAAAAATTAACACAAGATAAAGAATGCCTTAATGCTCATTTTTTTAAAAAAAGGAACTTTATTAGTTATGTTAAATACAACTTGAAGGGTTCTGAGGTAACAAAGAAAAATGACACTGATTCCATTTCAGTTTTTTCCTTTGGCATTAAGATCCTGTTACTTAAGAATGCTTTCTGGGGTTAACAGTACATGAGCAAGAGCAGACATCTGATTTGTGTATCAAGAAAAATATGAAAAATTTTTTTTTGCTTACCATCCCATGATTTTTTAAATAGAAACTTGGGGAGGGGGTGCTTTGTCTTCCTTATATCTGATAATAGATTAGAGCACTAGATTTGTAAGGCCACAAATATGAAGACCATACTATGAATGGCTCCTCTGCTTATTTGTTGAGGCAGTGTCTCAGGTAGCCCAGGATGATCTTAAATTTGCTCTGTCACTCTTGATCCTCCTGCCTTAGCCCCCCAAAAGCATGAATGCATGAATTAAAAGTGTGTGTCATGATGACTTGTTAAGAAAAAATATATTTTCGATTGATATTAATTACATGATTCCTTGTTACTCCCGGTAGCATTCATATACTCAGAAAGTAAACACTGCTGGGCACATTGGTATATATCATGACCCTAGCACCTAAGTGACTACATGGGGACAGCTGAACATTTACAACAGGTGGGGCTCTACAGACAGATCCTATCACAAAACAATAAAAATTGAAAAATAAATATTATATCAAGAATATACAAAATACATTACTTATATCTATGAGGCAAAATTAGAGTTTTTATTTTTACTATTTGTAGTTTTAAATTATTTATTCATTGCTTATACAATGTATCTTTTGAAAGCATAGAAGTTAACTATAGACTGCTACAGTGAGATCTTATCAGATACAACAATCTTGATAATAAATAGCTGCAATGTAGGCAGACCTGACAGTCTAGTGATTATTCGGACAGGAAACATACTGACTATGCAAGGCACTGAATGAGATGTACTTTCTAAGTCTTTAAAAGTACATCTGAAAACACATCAGCAGTGCTTTTATGCCTATGGAGCACCCACAGGTTCCAGAGTTATTTATATAGCTCTGCTTTTTATAAAGGATTTCCAAATAGTCGTTACTTAATTGTTGTATTGGCAACTTAATTACAAAAACATTTAAAAAGTAAATCCTAGTAAAGCACAGCCATAGCTCTGATTTATGAGATGACTTTTCAACTTTTCTACTTAATGCTTTAAGATATAGAAAATTGACAGCCTTGTCTACATAGCCAGTTTCAGGACAACCAGGACTATGTAGAGAAAAACAAATAACAAAAAACAAACAAAACAAATAGACAAAGAAATTGAAAACTGCAAAAGCTATGTTAACCTATAGAGGTAATTGTAATTTAAAAAGCAAGGAAAGTTTTTTCATATGTCATGCTAATATAGCTGAGCACCTGTACAGCTGAATAGTTTGTACAACTATTCTAAAGATATTCATATGAAGTTATGAAGAAACGACAGAAATAGAGAGCTATCACCAAATATGACTAGAATACTTTGACCAAACCCTCAGTGGTTCAAAAGTCAAAACATCCCTTTAAGATAGTCATAAATTTTATTTAGCCAAGAAGTTGGTCAGAATGTTCAAAGGTGATAATTAATAGAAATAAAATTATCAATAGCAGCCTTTAAAGAAGCATTTCTTCATTAGAAGAAACATTTAATGTCCAAGGTAGTGAGTGAGACTCATCTTCCTTTTCTAGTCTTAGAGTGTCTTTTATGGTAAAATCCATATTTTCTTGAAACTTTTTATATGTGTTGGTGATTGGTAGAGCTAGACTGTTACTACATTTGTTTCCAACAGGAAAATCCATATGTAGACATTCAACTGAAGGAGATGGTTTAAATCCAGCAGGTGGAACAGATCTACATCCAGTTGCAAAAATAAGAATGTCTTCCACAGTTGTTGCAGATTTACCATCTGAAATGTTAACAATTAAAGAGAAAAAAATTAAATCTACAAAACATATTACCGTTAGCATAGATACTTTCTCAACTAGACTGAAGACCCTGCTACTCATCTAGGACAAATTAAAAGACAAGGTAATGCTAAGTAGTACATTCATTAAGTCAATCTAAAAGTCAATCAAAAACAAAATTAACAAAAAAAAAAAAAATCACCCTCCCCATTAATTATATACTTGTTTTATTTAATCATTAATTAATATGCTAGCTTAACAAATTCTGAAATAATATGAAATGGTAAAAAACCAGAACCAACTTCAAAGTTAACATTTCTCTTAAAAAATAGAATAATATAATTCCATGTTTAAGGTTTTAGTCTGTCTACCATCCATCCATCCATCCATCCATCCATCCATCCATCCATCCATCCATCATCTATTTTAAGCTGCTTTCCAGCTGGCAGTGGTAACACATGCCTTTAATCTTGGCACTCAGGAGGCAGATGGATCTCTGTGAATTCAAGGACAGCCTGGTCTCAGAGTGAGTTCCAAGACAGCCAGGGCTACACAGAGAAACACTATCTCACAAAACAAAAACAAACCAATAGGCCTTTCATCTTAAATTGTAAATATGTATGTATATATGATAAGTATACTGGGTAATTCGTTTCCTTTGTAAATACAAGTAACAAATTCTTCTTAATGGCAAGAGCAAAACCCTAATAAACATTTGAAAAGAATTCAAGTACCTTCAGCAGCCTGTAAGTAACTCTTCCAAAACCTCAATGTTTGTACATCTGGTAATCCATGGACTGTGAAAAGATCACTGAGGTTTTTTGCAGAGAGAGTCTCAGGTTTATGACAGAGGATGTTATAAAAAACTTCTGGATAAGTTTGAATTTTCTCTAAGACACCAAGCGTTTTCAGACCCTGCTTAAAACTTGGGAAGAGAAATAATGAGACAATATACATACATGCTTGTTTTATAGCAAATTTATCTGGCATTTTATAAAAAACACAAAACAGTCCAACAGAAAATACTATGTGCATTCAGATAAGAAATACAATATTACGTTATACTTTCAAAGCAACAAAAAAAATGTATTGATTATTCTATATTACTGGTTTTAAAACTATTTTATTCAAAGTGGTAAATACTACCTTGCATGGTTTGACAAACTGTTCCTATATAATTGTTAAATAAAAATCCTAGGAATAATTCTGTGTGTAGGGTGGCTCAGAGGTCTGCACAATGGTGACTCTTGCCATTGCTGTTGTTAAAAGCTTACTGATAGAAGCACCATTGAACTTCACTGCAGGAAACAGGGAAGTCTCAATCGCCATTCCCTACTGATTAGCTTTCACAATGTCAATGGTGTTATGCAGAGTGCTGAGAGAGACAGCCAACAATGCTCTCAGCTAGCACGAGGCCATGTATGCCACAATACTAAGTTAGCAGGCAAGATGCATTCAATGGTACCAAAGTGGCAAGGCTATTTTGGGGGGAGGAGGGTGGTATTAAGTCTTGCTTTGTAGAAAGGTAAAGGTGGTACTGTAAACCTGATCATGATAACCAGTCATGTTGTCAAATTGTCTTCCAGATTTATGTTTCTAGCCATAGATCTGGGCTGCTCTCAATGTTGATCAGAAAAGCATATATATATATATATATATATTTTTTTTTTTTTTGAAGGGGGCAGCTGAGACCCATGGCTGGATAAAGTGCTGAGAGTAAGTGCTCAGTCCTAAATGGGACACCTGTATCAATGCCCCTACACCTCTGTACCAAGGGATGACAAACAAAAAGAATGTAAGAGCTGGAAGATGGGGAAGAGTATTATATAAGCTCTCTCAGGATATGGCATGGCTGTTGTATTCCAGAACTCACAAAGCTGCTTGATTTCAAAAATCGAGCATGGATGTAGGAGAGTGGTTCACAGGGCCCTACTAGCTGAGGATCTATGGGCAGTTGCTGACTGATGGGAGGGGATAGTCAATTATCTTTGGATGCCCCCATACGCATGAGCATATTGGCAGCAGTAACTGGGCCAACAGGAATAAAAGAGAGAGATGGTGGCTGGCCATAAAGTTGGAACAGGGATGTGTTGGGAATTCCAGGGAGGAGTAGAAGGGGAACTGTACAAGGTGGACAAGATCAAAATAGACTACGTGCCGTAAGTGAAGTCATCTAGCAATAACACGGGGAAAAATAAGCCTTCACCACAACAAACTGTGAATTTAACAAAGACAAAATAAAGGAAGAAAACATTTTAATATAAATTTTAAACAATATTTATTTGTAGAACAGAAACTTGTCTAAAAAATTCACAGTGCATTAAAACATCAGCAAGAATGAATAACAGAAGAAAGATGTATTTAAAATGTGAATTCTATAATATACAAAGACCAGGTTATTACTTTTGCTGATGAGAGCACATTGTTTACACTGCTTGTTGGATAATGTGCAATATTGACTTCTCTCTCTCTACTGATTTTCTCAGCAGGACCTAAATGTACTGCTAGAGGTTGAATACTTTTGATCCTTTCCCAATAGTTTATAATGAAACTCCATTGACAGTTTAACAGTATTTGGAGGTAAAAGCTTTGGGAAGCTACAAAGAAAGTAAATCATATTAGTACTAAAATCTGAGCCATAAATAATAACAAATGGCCTTATATTTCAAAGCAGCATAGCTAAATTTTGAGGTTAACCTTAAATATCCTTTCCCCTTAGTTATTATGTCCTATTGTTCCCTATTCTGAAATCTCCTTTGCAAATTTGTCAGCATACCTTGGCTACAATCTTAGTATAAAATACTTTTATCAGTCTATGTGACAAATGTTCCCAGTTCATTTTCCATACTGCTGGAATAGCCTGTGCCATAATAAAACTTGGCTGATTCAGAAGTAAATTATGTGATAGTCTCCAATTCCCTAGTACTTTTGTTTGCAAATAGACCAAACTAATGGTAAGGATTTTGAGACAAGATAATCTAGTTTAGATTATTATTGCTAGTCCTAAATCTAATGACACTAAGACACACCCATATAGAGACAAAGGGAATGAGAGTCAGATATCAAAGTTGTAGCATCATAAACAAGTGATGTCTATCAGATATCTGAATGACTTCTGTCCTCAAGATGTATGGTAACAAGTATCTGTTGGTTTAAGGAATTCAACAGCTGGGGAGAGAACTCAATTGGCAAAGTGTTTTCCTTGCAAGCAAGAGGCCTAAACACTCACCCAGAGTCCACATAAAAAACCCAGCATGTAGTGTACTCTTATTTTCCCATTCCTAAGGACATGGAAAAAGGAGGATCCCTGGGAAAGGGTTTCCGACCTGAGACACTCTTTCTCAAAAGAGGTGAAGTTGTCCTATGACCTTTGCACACAGGTGTAACAGTGAGCACGCATGTGTGGCACACACTTGCACCCATGCACACACAAAATGCTTGAGGTCCTAGGGTGGATCACCATAACTGTAAATTTTTAAAAACTGCCTTTATTTCTTGTGGTAATATTTTGTTTATGCTCTAAAAAATAAAGCTTCCCTGAAGATCAGAGTGCAAAGGGATCTGTTAGGTTCAAGGGCCACCCTCAGCTACATGAAATTCATTCAGTCTAAAAGAGAAACAGAGCTCACATAAAGGTGATCCCAGCACTAAGGAGGAGGAGACAGGAAGGCATATCGCTGGGTAGAGAGAAGAGTGTAAAGCAGGAAACAGGTGCTCATGCCAGTTTAGGCAGTCTAGGCAGTCAGCCTGAACAGTCAGTCTGAGGATTGTCTAAGGATGCAGTCTGAAATTTCGTAGAGAACATTCAGGATTCATGGAGACAGGATAACCTATTTGATCTGAGGTAGAGGTAAGAGCTAGTGGCTGGCTGCTTTGCTTCTCTGATTTTTCTGCCACCTCCCCCCCCCCACCCCCAACACACACACACACTACCTGACTCTGGGGGTTTTATTATTAAGACCTATTAGCACTTGTGCAACAATTTCTTCATTTTCAAAGGCATCTTGTTTTATATATAATGTACAGATTTTGAAATTGTACTTGGTAAGCATAAAGACAAAATATTTTATAGTATCTTACTTGCAATTAGAAGTCTAAGATCACTTTTGATCTGGAAATACTATCTGATTAATTTTGTTACTTTTTTTTTTCTATTCAAAAACCTTTCCAATCAGGGCAACAATACTGTTATCTAAATAATTCCACTGCCATTACTCCAATCCTTGCTTTCCACTCAAATGTGAGAATATCTTTACCTTCATCCTTCCCTTTGAGCTTAAGCAATAGAAGCTTCAATCTAAAGCTATGGCTCATTTCCAAGTACCTTGCATGATAAAAGTATTATAAAACCAAGCTCAATAACTGTTCTTTTGTGGTCCATATAAAAAATGCTGGGACAAGAGGAAAGTTTTGGTATTTTCAAGGAACACATAGAAGAAATGACACTACACAATAGGTGAATAAAGAAAGTAAAAACAGTATGGTAAATGAAAAGGGAAAGGCAAAGCAGTACAAACAAAGAAATTAACAAGGTAAGTGAGAACGTGTGAATTTAAAGCCTATTAAGTTTTGTAATCATGAATAATTAACTACCAAGGAGAAACCATTTCAACTTCCTTTTGTTGTAGAGAAGGCTCCTCTCCCACCAACACAAAGCTATGGGTGTCTTTCTCCTCTGTCTAATTGCATCAACAAGCTGCAGCTAAGCAACAAAGCCCAAAGACATGCTTCTCCAGCTCTGTGCAGTACAGAAATTGTCACCTCTCTTCTTCCCCAGGCTCTGGGAGACAACACCCATCAAACAAACCCTCATTTGTAGAGTGGCTAGGCTCTATTTTAGATTCTGGTTACCTGCCTAATCTCACATTTTTTTTTTCATGTTTCTTGATATTGTAACTCCTACTTATCATTTAGGTTTTAACTTAAAGACAATTAATAGGCTGAATCTAGACTACTCATATATATGAAGAGAAAAGCCTGAAATGAAAAACAATGATTGTATATACTTAGCAATGAAAAGGCCCACTAAAAAGTAGACTAAGTATTGGAGGAAAACTCAATCTGTATATCTATCTCGTTTAGAAATCCACTTCTAACAGGATTTATTTGAATTTTACATATTAACTATAATGTAAAATGATACACGGTACTCACAAGCTTAGAGTCAGAAAATACTTGGATGTATGTAAAAGTTAAGTGTTAAGCTGCAGTGTTAAAAATCCGAATGCTCATCAACATGAAATTGACTGTGTGGGGGAGATAATGGATTCTTGAACAGCTCATTAAAAAGAACACATTCCTTTAATGCCAACACCCCAGAGGCCTCCCAGAGATCCCCCAGGTGGATCCCTGAGTTCAAGCCAGCCTAGTCTACAGAGTGAGTTCCAGGACAGTCGAAGCTCTATAGAGAAACATTGTCTAGAGAAACAACAACAAAAACAAAAGAAACACAAAACCAAAAAACCAACCAATCTCCAACCAAAAAAGCAAACAGAAAAAGATGGCTGACAGGCTAATATAAATGCATATATACTTATTTGGTATTATTTACAAGAGTTAACTATTTTACATGAATATTTATGTAAAAGTTTAAAGTCAATCAATAAAAACTACAACACAGAAAGGAAACTAACCCAGAGACTATGTTGAGGACTATGCATCCCTGAACAAAAGAAAACTTCATTTTGGTGTCATGTTACTATTTCTAAAAAGGTTGTTTATAAAGTGTTGAATAAATGAAGCAAGTAATTATTTTATACTCTCACTTCTCCAGGATCCATTAAAAACAAGACAAAACAAAACAACCACAAATAAACACATAAAAACTCAATAGATTTCTTTTCCTATGTATGGCTGCTTTGCCTGAATGTATATCTGTACAATATGATCACAGTGCCCACAGGACAGAAGAGGACACTGGACGGTTGTTAAGAGGACAGGTGGTGCTGAGAACCAAACCAGGGACTTGGCAACAGCAGCCGATGCTTGACTGCCACCTACCTCTCTAGCCCAGCAGTTCTCAATCTGTGGACTGTTACCCTTTTAGAGAGTCAAATATCAGATACCTCACATATCAGATATTTACATTATGATTCATAGCAGTAGCAAAATTAATTATGAAGTAGCAATGAAATAATATTGTTTGGGGGTCATTATAACACTAGGAACTATATTAAAAAAATCAGGAAGGTTGAGATCCACTGCTCTAGTCCATAATTCTACAGTATCCTTAAGAACTAGGATTAGATTGGGATTATTAAACAGATGTGACAGCACACATCTGTAATCTTAGCCTTTGGGAGGTAGAAGAAAGGGTAACACAATTCAAGGTCATCCTATGTAAAGAGTTGGAGCCAGACTCAAGCCTTGATGTTTTGTTGCGTTAAAAGCAAAGGAGCAAGACAAACAAACCATTTCACACCGGTTAGAAGAGCAGGCCATCCAACATTAGAAGAGCTCAAAGACAAACAAACAAACAAACAAACAAAAAAAAAAAAAAAAGAGAGATTAGAGGGATACAGAGATGGACATGGTAGAACCCACCTGTAATCCTAGGAATAGCTTCAAAATATAATCAAGCATATTGACATTGATTAAGATATGTGAAACCAATACTGGACTCAAAATCAAGAGAATGGTAAAGTTGAATAAGATAGTCATAACCTTACGTTAGATCTGGGTGGTCATATATATAAGATATATGTGTATATATAAACATATGTATATATATGTTTACTATTTTTTTTAATGGAGGAGCTAGACAGATGGCTCAGCAGTTAAGAGAGCTTACTGTTCTTGCAAGGACTTGGGTTTGGTCCCTAGCATTCATCAGGTGGCTTACAATCATCTATTAATTCCAATCCCATGGGATCTAATACCCACTTCTGACCTCTTATGTGTTCTTGTACACAAATGGTGCATAAACACACACTCAAGAATATCCACATAAATTTTAAGGGGATGAGTGGAAATAAAAACAAGATGGATTGGGTGGGTGGGGGGGTAGAGAGAGAGAATACTGGAAGAGACAACTGGAATTGAGGGGACATTTTAGAAGTGAGACCAAAGCCTAGTGCAGTGGAAACACCCTGTAATCTACAAGGGTGACCCCAGAGAAGACTTAGTAATGGAAGATACAAAGAAAAGGCTTCCAGTGAAGGGACTGGAACACCAACCCAGCCACAAAACAATTGACCTGCAATTTGCCCTGCCTCCAAGACATGCAGGGATAAAGATGGTGCAAAACTTGTAGGAATGACCAACTTGAGATCCACACCAGGATTGGGAGCCCATTCCTAATGCTGCCTGGAGAGGCAGAAAACAAACCTAGGCAGAAAACACACCTAGGATAGAACCAAACATGACTAGAAAAAAAGTCAATGATATTATTCCTGAGGATATTCTACTATGCTCATAGACCAAAGTCTAGCATAAATGTCATCAGAGAGGCTTCATTTAGCAACCGATAGGAGCATATGCAGAGACCCACAGTCATACATTAGGCAGAGCTCAGGGAATTCTGTGGAACAAAGGAAGGATTCTAGGAGCCAGTGGATGTCAAGGACATCATAAGAAGACCCACAAAAATCAACTGACCTGGGATCATAAGGGTTCACAGAGACTGAAGTGACAATTGAGAAACCTGAATAGGTCTTGATTTGGGTATTCCTTTGCCTGCTTTTGGGACCCTTTTCCTCTTACTGAGTTGTCTCGCCAAGCCTTAATATGGGATATGTACCTCCTGTTATGTTTGGTTGACATTGTTGGGAGGCCTGCTTTTTCTGAAAGGAAAACAAAGAGGAGGAGATCTGGGGGAGAGAGGTGGTACTGAGGAGGAACAGGAAGGGGAGGAGAGGAAATTGGGGGATGGGGAATTGCAGTCAGGATATGAGGGAAGAATAAAAAAGGGGGGAAAAAAATAAGGATGTTTGGCCAGGTGGAAAAGCACTCATATTTAATTCCAGAGGCAGGAGGATCTGAGTTTGAGGTCAGCCTATGCTACCTAATAAGTGTCAGAACATGCAGAATGATATAGAGACCCTGTCTCAAAAAAGGAGGAAGTGTGGAAGAACTTGAGAAGTTTCAAACTTTTTAAGTTATTATTGGGACAAAAGGTTTCAAGACTAATGTTCTGAAGAGCAGACTAGAGAAATGGCTCTTCCAGAGGACCCAGGGTTAATTCCTAGCACATACAAGGCAGCAGACTTACAACTGTCTGCAATTCTAATCCCTCTTCTGGCCTCTGTGGGCACCAGGCATAACAACATGCAAGGAACACGAACACACACACACACACACCACCACCACCACACCACACCACACCACACACAATTCCCCCTTAGGAAGAGCAAGAATCTGATCCGTATTTCAAACCAAAGAGTGGTTAGTACCTATTTTACCAGCAGATGAGAGGTGTTCAACAGTCATTAAATTAACAAGCAGAGATAGTAGTAGTTCAAGTGGTTAAAACTTTTTAAGTGAAATTTTCATTAGAAAAATCTTAACAGGCTGGAGGGATAGCTCAGCCATTAAAAGCTAGGCTCACAACCCAAATATACAGAAAAATCATAACTAATTCAAGTGCTAATTGTTTCTCCCTGAGGAACACATTCATGCAATTTTGGACAGAATTGGAACAGGAGTTAGGCTAAGAGATCAAGCTTTAAAATATTATTTCAAATAGCATTAACATTCTTTGAAATTAAGCATTTGTATTTATTACCAAATAATCACTCTGTAATTTGGTAGAATCTTTTGATGGGAGATGTCATTCTGTAAATGTTTCTCTTATTGGTTAATGAATAAAGCACTGTTGGCCAATAGGAAAGCAAGACAGGCAGGACTGGGAGACAAGGAGGAGAGAAGAAGTAGGGAGGAGATTCAACATGGAGGATGGAGAGAAGAATGCTGAGCCCTCTCTCCGGTAAAAGATAAGACCATATGGAAATACTTAGATGAATAGAAATGGGTTAATATTTAAGACAGAGCTAGCCAATAAGAAATCCTAGTAACAGGCCAACAACATAATATCTAATACAGCATCTTTGTGTGTTATTTGGGGCTGGCATGGCTCTGGGACCAGGCCAGCGGGAAAAACCTGCTTGTAACAATCTTTAACATAGAAACAAACAACTTACCTCTCAAAGGGTGCGTGGACTCTCTGAATTACATGGTAGAAAAGGATGTCTTTTACCAACATATATTTATCACTTAGTGATGATATAAGTCTTAAACAGCCAATAAACTCTAGATAACTAGAGCATTCATTTATTACTGAGTTCAAACTGTTGATAGTGGCTGCAGTATTTATCTGTAATAAAGAAGAAACATGTCAGCGTCATTTTACCCATTTATTCTGACTGGTAGCTACAATTCACGTAACATTATAAATAGTTTATATTTCAAATTTTAAAACCAATTTTTTAAAAAAAATGTGTGTGTGTTTGTGCTTGTGAATGCAGATGCCTACAGAGGATCAGGAGTTTCATGTGATTGTGAGCTGCCAGCCATGGGTGCTGGGAATTAATTTGGGTCTTCTGCCAAAAGCAACACCATTCTTTTTATGTGTCTTTTGAGACAATGTCTAATTGCAGTCCCTTGGCTGGCCTGGAATCCTCTATGAAGACCAGACTCATGAAGAGCCTGCCTGTCTTTGCCTTCAGAGAGCTGGGATTGAAGGCATGCTAGCTTTTGCAATCTTAACGGCTGGACTATCTCTCCAATCCTATATTCAATTCTTCAGTACAACAGCGTACAATAAAATTATGCCAAGAAATATATTAGAGAGGTCCTTTTCCATCCTGGAAACCACAGGTTGCCTTCTTACATCACACACACTATGGCATGAACACATGCCACATCCAACAAATCCTACCAGCTATAATTTGCTACTTACTACTCTAAAACTGAGAAGACAGATTTGACATGTACAATGTTTACATTGTCTAACTCCATGACAGTATAGCATATTAATGCTTATCTTTTGTGCTTTTCCTAAAACTTAAATTCAGAGATTATTATATTTATTAATTCAGTATTCTATCTTCAATAATAAAACAGTTCAGGACACATATTATTTAATGACTAAATGAATCAGTGGAAATATTAGAATACAAATTTGAATTTGATGTAATAGTCACAACAGAGATAATGAAAGTCAGATATGCCACTTTTATATACTAATAACTTGGGATATACTTGGGAAAACATTTTAAGAAAGAATTAAATTGATCTCTTTTCTTATAAATAAAAAAGTCTTCAAGAAAATGCAAAGAAAATCTTTAGACTGGGAAGGAATTCACTTTTGTCTTGTAAACATATTAGTGTGCTGGCAAGATGGCTCAGCAGGCAAAAGCCTTCTCACATGGGTGAAGACCTGAATTCCATCCTTGGGTCCCACAGTAGAGGAAGAGAACTGATTTCTGAAAGCTGTATTGTCTTCTTACCTCAATGTGTGCCAGGGAAGACGTGCAACATATGCATATAGTAAGTGAAAATAAAAGGAAGATCGGCTTGGCAAACTGATTCTAAAATTTACAAAGGGTAGATGAAGAGATGGCTCAGAAGTAAAGAGCACTTGTTGGTCTTTTAGGACCGGAGTTCTGTTCCCAGCACCCACATCAGGTGGCACACACAGCTTCAGGGGATCAGATGTCCTCCTCCAGCCACTGCATGCACGTGTGCATACCCACACAGATGCATAAATATAAACATATAAGCATAAAAGAAAACCTCTGAGAAATAGATGTGATTTTTTTTAGCAAGGCCTGGTGGCACATGCCTATCTGTAATCCCATTACTTGGGAGGCTGCGGAAGAAGGAGTAAGAGCCTAGGCTACAGAGAACCTACCTCAAAGGATCTAGTGTCAGATGGGGACTGTTAAGACGTCCACCCTTATGTACTGAACAACTAAAGGATTCTCTGTCTCTTTAGTATAAGACAGCTACTGCTGGACTACATGAACCACATCTGGTAAGCAAACCTAGATGTGGCAGCACTCCTTCAGTTCTAGCACTTGGAAGGCAGAGACAGAATCTCTGAATTTGAGGTCAGTCTGTTTGTTCTACATAGTGAATTTCTAGGCCATCCACCAGGGCCATCTAGCAAGACCCAAATAACAACAAACAAATATCCATTCTATCACTTCTATCCTTCAGAAAACCCTAGGATCTCTCTTTATCACGTATAGGAGGAAAGACAAGCATTCTGACTAGTGTGACAGGTCCCTCTCAGGTTTCCCTTCACACAGGTAATTCTGCTTTATCTGCTTGCAGGGAGCATTAAGAAACTTGCCTGCCCCTGTCTACCTAGTCTTGGCAACTTTCACCAAGTAACAGTAAATACTGGTCTTATTAGCACTAAACCTAGCACAATCTCTAGCTATTTGACTTTTATCCTTCATTTAGTAGGAAAGACAGGATCTCAAAATGTAGCTCGGCTAGCCTTGACCTCTTCAATGGTGAGATTTATACAGACATGTTCAATCATGCCCAGCTAGATTGGTTTCTAACCTGGTTCAGAACTCTTTGGGTGACATAACTCATGTTAAAATGCAACTAAAATGTAATACATATTTTAATGTACAGATATTTTTCTTACCTTGATTATAATTTGCGCCACATCAAAGTCTGAAACATCAGCCAAACTTGGTAGAGTATTTTCTGGTCCATAAGCCAGACAGTTAAACAAAGTATCAGAAAAAAAACCGGGTGAAGGACCACCATGAACTAAAGAAATGGCAAGCATTTTGCCAGCTTCATAATAAAGGTTCTCCTTCAGAGCTGTAAATACAGATTTAAAAAAAAAAAAAAAAACTAAATATATAAAATAACCATCATTTTAAAATGAAGATGTACACACACACACACACACATACAAATTAATTTAAAAATCAAAACACTTGTAAAATAACCATAAGAAGCCACCATCCTGTATATGGACCTTCCCTAGATATCTACTGAAAAGCTGCCCTCTGGACATAAATAAACCATTATAGAACAGAATGTAAATCTATGAGAAAATAAAATACCTAAAACTAGGGGCCGGAGTCATGGCTCAGCAGTTAAGACACTTGCAGAAGACATGGCTTTATTTTCCAGCACCCACATGGTGGCTCACAATCACCTATAACTCCAATTCCAAGGGACCTGGCATCCTTTTCTGCCCTTTGAAGGGCCGACACACAACACAGGTACACATGCAAGCAATACACTCATTCACATGAAGTAAATAATAAATCTTTTAATTGTATCACAATAATTATAATTCCTCTGAATTATTTTTGTCAGTAAATATATATTATATAAATAAAATTGGGTTCTGTTATATTGTAAAATTCTCTCAAACTTGAATTAGTTAAAAACATAGCTATTAGATGACTGAGACTAGAATACACTATAGTACAAAGTATCCCTTACTTCTGGCTATGTAGGTTATGTGACAAAAATGTCACATAAATAACTAAGACATAATGTTGACCTTACTATCAGTTTGTCTATTTTTGATATGACCAGATCAAGTCATACAGTCAAGGTTATCTTACTAGAAGTGAGATTTACTTCCAACAATATTTGCTACAATAAATACCACACACTCACAGCTCTAAGTACTTTTTAAAAAGTTATTCACAATGTTTTAGCAATTATGATGTGTTAGAAAGACATGTAAATGATAGTTTACACTTATACTAGCTCTTCAAAACAGTTAATAAATAATATTAAATCTTCAACAATAATCTTATTTGTAGCAATAGTTTACAGCTTAAAAAAAAAAAAGGCCTACATCCAGGGTAATGGAAATAAAAACTACTAGGTAGATACATGCAGACTTGAATTCATATTTTATAGCTTGTATTTCTGTACTTTCCACTGTGCCAAAGCTACCTTGAGTTAACAAGTTAAGGTTAACAAGTTAACTAATTATGGGGGGGGCAAATATAATTAAACTGTTTATATTATAAATAAAAAAAAATAAAATCAAGCATCAGGCAATGACAAGGGAAGAGAGTGAAATGTAAAAAAACCTTACTCCTTTTCAATGTCCTTATTGTAGGAAAAATTCCTAAGAAAAACCAAACCAAACCAAACCAAAAAACAAACAACAAATCCCCCTCTCAAAAAATAGAAAACAAAAAAGAATGAATAAGACCCAAAGTAATTATCCATTTCATCTGGTGATGCCAGTCAAATCATATTCAAGAAAATGAAGCTTAATTTAACATATTTAATTATGAAATACTTAATTATGTATCTGCATAAAAGTACAGGAGCCTGAGGATGGCATAGGTGTTGATGCCTGAAGCTACCTTTTGAGCTGCTGGACGTAGGGACTAGAAATTTGGGTCCTCTGCAAGCACAGCATTCCTAACCACTAAGCCATTTCCTCACCCCAGATACTCTTGAATCCTTACTTTAAAAATATCAAATTCTCATTCATCAACAAATGCAAATTATTTATTCCAGATACAACTAAAGAATCCATTATAACCAACTATCTGCTTTTTTGGCTATACATGTTATCTTCAGTATGTATAATGATAATAAAAAATAGTTACCTTGAGAATTTAGAGTCAAGTTCTTTGACATAGACCCTTCAAACAGAGATGATGTCTCAAGATGTTGCATTAAGTGGCTCAGAAATTCCTGCTTTGATCCAGGAAGCTCTATTCCAAAGTTATCCTTTTCATTAATATATACCACTTCCATGGTGTACAAAGGGTTAAACTTCTGGCTCTGGAACTGCTCTAAGGCACTCCTCCACAAATTGGCTTTGTTGATAAATAACCTCTTAGCTTTCTTTTTAATTTGGAATCCCAACTCTACCAATATTGTTGAAATGTCTCTCCTAAATTTGCTGCCTTGCCTAGAAAACACAAATTCAAATAAAGATCATTATTTTAAAGTAATTTCTGGGACAACAGTTATACACTATTAAAGATGTAGTTATTTTTGTTTGTTCTATTTTTAAGTTTAAAAGACAGTTTTCTGATGATACTGGAACCAAAACATTTATATGACTACTTTTAAATTCCAATCTAATCATTTACTAACTTGTAATCACTTGTAAGAATACTAAAGATCAGGCTGGAGAGATGGCCCAGAGGTTAAGAACACTGGCTCTTCCTCCAGAGGTCCTGAGTTCAATTCCCAGCAACCACATGATGGCTCTGGCTCACAACCATCTATAATGAGATCTGGAGCCCTCTTCTGGCCTACAAGGATACATGCAGACAGAATACTGCATACATAGTAAAGAAATAATCTTTTTTTTTTTTTTTTTAAAAAAAAGAATACTTTAGATTATTAGTAGATTAGAATACTTTAGAATACCTAATTCAGTGGATTCAAATTTAAGGGTATGAAATTCAAAATATTACTTACTGGCCAATAGCTAAAACAACTCAATTGTATCAATAATGTATTTTCAATAGTGCAGTTATAACTGATAATGCAAATATTATCGACAGAACTCACGTTCCCTTAATATCTTATAGTCTGGACCATCTATGTCAACAGCATCATCTATGAACTAGTTACAAATATAAATCCTTAAGCCTCAAGCACTATAGAACCTCTGTGTACTAGCACCCATGAAGCACATGAGTTAGTTTAACTTCTGCCCCAGCTTTTCCATCTGCAGGCAGAACTAAAGTATTCTATTACGTTGTCCTACCCCAAACATTGCAGCCATATTTTATTATAGCAGTTGATTCCTTGCTCCTTGGGAATGTTAATGCTGCTCTTTAAGCACATGACTAGATGTTAAAACAGAAACAAGCAGTCAAGTTTCTCTAGTGCAATGTCTTTGGAAACCTAAATACTAAAATTATTTTCAAACTATATATGAACATAAGAAATGAAGCATTCTAATGTAAAAGTAACTATAAAGGTTTTCAATTGAATTAGCAAAGAGAATTTATTTGCTTAATTAAGGCTTCTGACATTAACTATATATAAAGTAAACAATGGTTATAACATCAAGAAACCAACCTTTGTGTTAAACAGGATTCTTTCATAGAGGGACATGGTGTGCTTGATAATTGAACTTCTTGCTTTAGTCTGTAATTAAATAATATTGTAAATATATTTCCCAGGATGTTTATATCTTTAAAAATATATTATGACTCAGTATAGAAGAAGAAAAATACTAAAATTGATACCTTGCTTTCTGTTTTTAACTGACTCCCTTCCTTTACGATACAGACTCTCATATAGTCCAGGCTTGTCTCAAATCCATTATGTAACAGAGTCTACCAGTATGTGACCATGTCAAGCTATTCTATTTCATCCCACCTTTCCTTGACTTCATGCATCCCATGTTGGGTCCTACAGTTTGAAAATCATTCTTCTAAACAACTAAGTGTGTGTGGCATCGGAAGTCATAATTTTCAAAGTGATTTTTCTAAAATAAATACACATACCTCAGTAATTCTTTATGCTGGGCTCCAGCTGACTGTTTGGGGAGCTTAGGTGATGACTCTTCCAACAAGCAATCAGTAACTGTCACATTAGTAGAGTTGGCTAAAGGGTGTTTGGGGGCCTTTCGGAAATCTACACATTTAAATCTTCAGGTTAGCTTAACAGAAACTTACGTAAATATTTTTAACAACATACACTTTAACAAAAGCAACTTTATTCAAAACTATTTATTACCTGAATTGTAGGTGATTCTTCTACAGTCCAAACATTCCCAGTTTTGGTCCACTGACTGTAGTGAGGAACAGGCTAAATGTGTTCCACTAGCTCCACAACACTGACAGCGCTTTACTTCCCATTTGCTGAGGACAAAAAAAGTATATTTGCATGTTCTGTGAATGCTGGATGCCATTAAGATTAGCACCTGAAGTCCAGCCCTCTGTCATATACCACTCCAACCATCAAAGTACTGATAGATTAAGGCAGGATCTGGCTAGGTACTCCAGATTGGCCTGGAGTCACTATGCATGGCATAATGGCCATGAACTAGTGGTCTTCCTACTTCATCCTCCCAAATGCTTGCATTATAGGAATGCTGTAGCACATCTGACTCTAAAGTATTTTCTCAACTTCATTTAATGTTTATAATCTCTTCCTCCAAACATCCTGAATTTAAAAACCTAAATGAATACTGCTATCACTCACACACACACACACACACACACACACACACACACACACACACACACACACACACAAATAATATATCAGAAAAGTTAAAGATAAGAAGAAAAGTATTTTCCTTTATATTTGGAGATAAATTACATTCAGAGAGGGTACTGTTCACTGTTGATACACAAATTTACAATATGAAGGTATATAGTATTTTCATAAGAAAACAAATAAACAATGCTCTGACTTTTCAGATGCTAAGCCTTGGAATCAAATATAGCTGGCTCATATTCATATAGCTCTCATCTCTGCTCCTCTCCTTGTCACCCATTGTGCCTGTAGTATCCAAATACATTTCCACATATGTGTATGTATTAGGGTTTTGATTGCTGTGATAAAACACCAAGACCAAAAGTAACTTGGGAAAGAAAGTGTATATAGGACCATCACTGAGAGAACCCAGGGCAACAACCTTGGGCAGAAGCTGATGCAGAGGCCATGGAATGTTGTTACTTACTGGGTTGCTCCTCATTGCTTGCTCATCCTGCTTTCTTACAGAGCCCAGAACCAACAGTTCAGGGATGACAACACCCACTATGAGTGACCCTCCCCAATCAATCACTAATTAAGAAAATGTTGCATGGAGGCATTTTCTCAATTGAGTTTCCCTTCTTTTCGAGGATTAGCTTGTGTCAAGTTGACATAAACTGGACAGCACACAGTATACTACAAAGGTTTGGACTGAAGTTTCTTTCATTTTCTGTTGGGATGAGTATAATCTTCTGTACAGAAACAAATATATTCTGTACAAATATATTCCATGTGGAAACATGGGTGGCAAGTCAGGTAGCTAATCTTCCAACACCTGTATATGTATACATTTTCCACCTGAGAGTATGAATGGATGGGCTATTTCCCTAAGCTTATATATCTGTATGCCTTAGAGTGAGGTTTCCAACCCATTTTGCCTGGGCTTTAGACCCATGCTCCATACTATACTAAGTTGCCTTTTACCAATATTACCTTTGTCTTATTAGAATGGAAGGAATACAGTTACAAAGCAAGCATCCAGGTAACAGTTATGTGTGTCCCAAGAGAAAAGGTAAAAAAAGGACAGATGCAGATTAGGGCACCTGTGATACATAGGAAGCTCCAAAGGCTGGCCAGTGCTCAGTGATTCTTCACAAGCAGGAGTGGATACATGAGAAGCATTTCATGGAAACAGTCTCCTGCATCCTAACCCTCCTATGTTACAGGAGACTACATTAGCAGAGCAGTAACGTATTTTTAGAGAGTGATTAGGCCACAGGTAACACCGAGACCACCATGAGGACACGGTGAGGTGGTGTCACCTGTATCACCTCCAGGCAATGCTTCTGATCAAAACAAAGCCATAGGTCCTTAGGCCTTGGATCTCTCATTCTAAGGTTCCAACCCAGCCTTCAGCTTTTTTTGTTACAGGAGCTGTGTGTAATTTACATTTATAGCACTCCCTCAACTTGGAATAGCCTCATGAAAGTTTACCAAAAACACTTAGTATATTGACTAGAGATTTCTCTGAAAACACTCACACTTAAAAATAAACATACTTCACCTCAAGTTAAAACTTCAGAATACCCTAAGAGGAAAACTGAATTTCACACCCAGACAATCTATAGTCTTAGCTAACATCTTAGTAAAAAACAACTAAACACAATGAAATTTGCAGAAATACCCATTGGGTTCATTATAGTCTCGCCCTTTTCTGCAATGACATCTTCGAACATCACATCGGTCATGGCTCTGCAACAGCTCTTGATAAGCATTTTCTTCTAATTCCCAGGATGCATCCCTATAATGAAGTCAGATATAAAAAGTGTGTTGGTCTGACAGAATTAATAATTTAGAAACAAGGATGAAAGTGCTTTTTTAGGCTGCTCTTTTCATCATAGAAATCAATTGTGTTACTTTACCTTATAGTCAGTTTCACAGTTAACTTTCAAACACTAAAGTTGATCAGAAGTATTCTAGTATTTCATTTCCAGTTTGTGTTGTTACATCCTAGGCGGCTTCAATTCAAGTTCCACCCACTTCCCAGTTTCTCAAATTCTGGGACCCCACCCCCTCACCTCCATCTGAGGCAGAGTTTCTCTGTTTAACAGCCTTGACTGTCCTGGAACTCACTCTGTAGACCAGGCTGGCCTCAAACTTACAGAAAATCCACCTGCCTCTGCCTCCCAAGTGCTGGGGTGCTAGGATTAAAGGTGTGTGCCACCACCGCCCGGATCAAATGCTGGGATTATAAAGTGTTGTTTATTTTAGTGTTTCTTTTTCTCTCCCTGACCCAAGACTCTAGCCCAGGTAAGCCTAGATAGAATTCACTTTACAGCCCATGTTGGCCTGTACACCTTAAGCCTCCCAAGGACTGGGGCCCAATTTTTACTTTCAAGAATATAATCACTGCTTCAGATTTCTCATCTTATGGTATCACTAAAGTTCTTTTCCATTTTAAACCCATTGAGTCTGTCTTAGGTTATCTATGAATACCAATTTAAAGATGCTATTCATATGTCACCAGAACTGGATTTATTTGAGTTACTAAGAGACATATCAACTAATGAGACACTGACATCATAGTGTCTGTTCCTCAAGAGCTGGCCATCTGGGAGAAGGCACTCAATCATGTGACATGGCTACTTAGCCACAATCACTATTAAGACATAAGTTATTAGTTTTAAAACTAAACACTACATTTAAATGCTTTTTGGTCAAAAAGCCAAATGTTACTCACTTTTCAGGAATATGAATTCCCATTCTCAACATCTCTTTCTGAAAGATGTCGGTATTATTGCATAGTGTACACCTAAAGAAATACACTCCTGCATTTATTGCTTGAACCTACAGCAGAAAATAGAAAATCTATTGTTAGCAATGCATCTCTCACCGAGTTGTAAATTATATAACTAACAGAAGAACATATGCTATCTTTTCCTTAATGTATCCTGAAAATATTTTCTGTGCCAATGGCTCTTAGAACTATAATCAATCACCCTAAACATGGACAGCCTTTCCTTCTGTTTAAAAAGCATCTTGCCAACACATAATTCTTTCAACAGTCAATGGTTTACTTTCTCAAACTGTAATACTGCTCTAGTTTACTTTCTGCTATGAGAAAACAACTCTGGAAGAAAGGAGTCCATTTGTATTTTGTCTTAAACCTCACCCAACCCCACCCCACCAATCCTGAGGGAAGAGACTCAGGGCAGGAGCCTGGAGCATCGGGTAGCTGCTCCTGGCTCGGGATCAGATGCTTTCCTTGTTCTTCCCAGGACACATCTGCTTGGGGTAGCTCCTGTCAACAATAGGCTAGACCCTTCTCTATCATAGGCCAATCTTTGACGGCAAAGCCACACCTGAAGCTCTCTTTTCCCGTGTGTACCTAGTTTGTGTTAAATTGCCAAAAGCTAAGTTGCACTTAACATAGTCCTAGTTACTAAATATTGCTTTTACTCCATAGTACAAGGAGAAACAATGAAAATCTTCAGATACTTAAATAGGTGTTTATTATTATATAAACGTTACTATTTCTGTTTTTAATTCAATGTTGGTTTTTTTTTTCCACAAAAGAGAAATACTGAGTGTTCCAACAATGCTATATAGCAAATACACAACCACAAGCCAGATGATATCCAGAGGGATATAAAACACTATACAGTCTAGAGTGAGCAGCAGTCTCCCAAACTAGTAAACAGATGTTCATTTAAGTTCTACTTCCTAAATGACAAACAGTGCTGTACAGAAAAACTAGTAAACAAAGAACTCTTATGACTAGGCACACAACTGTAAAATTATGTAAAAGAATTATCTGTATGTATGTCTATCTATATGTGCATAGGTGTACATTTGGAGACCAGAGGCTGATATCAGTCTTTTCACTTAATTATTTTGAGGCAGGATTAATCATTGAAGCCAGGACCCACCTGGCTAGACTGACTTTGTCAAGGAGTTCCAAGAACCCATCTACCTCTGAACTCGTTCACTACCGTTCCACAACTGTCCATGCTGAGAATACAGACAAGTGCTGACATGCCAGGCTTTAGAAATGCTGTTTTGTTTTTTGTTTGTTTGTTTTAAGTAGATACATGGAACAAAGAGAAAAAGCCCACTAATTAATAACATATTGTCAGAGATAGTGAGGAAAAAAAGCCAAGTTTTAGAAGAAGCAGAGGTTTGCCAGGAAAAAATAATGAATGACATTTCAAAGAAAGTTTTCACAGTAAGACAGACAACATGTAATTAGGAAATATATTTTGATATGACATTCTGGCCAAACTGAACTAAATCATAAGACTAAACAGGTGAATCAAATTCAGAAAAAAAGTGAGGCTTCAAGGAGAGCATAATTGTCAGGAAATAAAAAATCTATACCAATTAGTTTAGAGCAGCAAAGACAGCTATTACAACAGAAGAATACACAAAACTATTAGTTGGACTGACAAAGTTGAGGCAGTTGATGGATGCTGGAGAAGAAATGGAGAGGATGGCAGGCTCAGATGCCTCGCACATGGTACACACACACACACACACACAAGAAACATTGGAGAGGAGGGATTATGTTGCTGGAATACCCAAGTTGTTGCACACAGAAGGCTGTATCTTACTAAACATGGTATTTGCCGTTTGAAAGTATCTGGTAGAAAAGAAAAACAGAAACAAACCTGAGACAAAACTGACCAACTAGCACAGAATGTGTTAAGGATACCTAGTCTCTGACTGAGAAATCCAAACTAAATAAACACTATTCTTTTCTAGTCTCTTTTCACAAAATTTCTATATGTAATAATTGCAGTAATTAGAAATAATATTGCTTAACCATATACTGTAAGCTAGAGTGGGTATATTTCTGATTTTAGATTCTGGAATCAAGAGTGGAAATCTCTCTAGAGCCTATTAGAGAAAGTGACTGAAGCATTAGTGTACCCTAATGAATTATAACAACTGTTTTTTGACATGTAATAGTCACGTTTCTTTCTGGATAGAATTCTAAGCCAATTTTCTAAAAACAGTAGCAAGTTTTTTGTTAGCAGCTGTTATTTATAGGGTCTGTCTCAGCTCTCCCCACAGAGGTAGGTGGTAGATGTGTGTGTGTGTGTGTGTGTGTGTGTGTGTGTGTGTGTGTGTGTGAAAGAGAGAGAGAGACTCTGTGCGTGTGTAAAGGCACTCTACAGAGAGAAAGAGAGAGACAGACTCTGTGTATGTGTAGGCACTCTACAGAGAGAGAGAAAGAGAGAGACTCTGTGTGTGTGTGTAGGCACCCTACAGCAAGCTAGATGCCAGCTCAGTGCTTCTAGTTTTCAAAAGCAAAGTCTTCATTAGGTCAAATGTAAGAACTCTCTTTGCTTTATTATTGACAAATATAAAGCAAATCTTTACAAAATTAAGACACAGTTGTCAATAATTAAAAGCCACTTAAATACATTTAAGCAAAATTACTTTTCAAAGGGCTCTCACACAAAATATATTTCTTCATTAATAGTAAGAATTACACTTCATGCCCATGTTTATTAACTGTACTTTCTGGTACTGACAGACACTTGTGTTTGAGAATTACAAGCATCTCCAACAAAATGAGCTCCAATTTACCACTTTTCACTGACTAACCAAAGTATGAAAGTCTAAGACTATATTTTAGAAAAAGCAGAAATCAGCCAAGCTTTATTACCTCATTACTGCTAGTACTTCTTTTTTAAAATATAAGGTTATTTAACACCTGGTAACTTTCAAAAAGTTTGTGGACAATTAATAACCAGAAACATTTCACATTACTGAACAAAATAAAATCTAAGCTTTATAAATCAAATTTTTAAAAGTAACTTTTTGTTTTATGGCATGGTTTTGTCTAATAGCACTTCCAAACATTTCTAACTATTTAAGAATTTTCCAAATAAAAACCATTATAATTATATTGAGTATTTAGTCTTCTGCTTGCTTGCAGCATCAAACGCAGGGCCCTCATGCACACTAGGCAATCAATATATCATTGAACCAAATCCCTAGCCCAATTTTGGCTTTTATGTTACTATCTAAGTAGAGGGGACACAGGCTTATTAAGGAAAAGTGAGAAAAGAGCTTCCTAAGAGCAACATAAGCTCTAAGAAAGGAATACTGATATTTTATGATATTCTATTGCATTGATAGCTTGACACCAAATTATAATTCAAATCAGCAAACATTTTATATTATAGGAGACAAAAATTACAAAGCTGTATTACCTGTAAACAGTCTCTGTGAAACCAAGCATTCTTACAACAGGGACTCAGCAATATGTTGTAAGTAGGAATAGGCTCGATGTATTCTAAACAGATGGTACATTGAAAAGGGTCTCGGTACTTATTAGATGTAATTACTTGAACTGGTCGATGTTTCCAGCAAAATGACCTGAAAAATGGAGATTTAAGGAAGAAGAAGAAAAAAAATACAACTCTGTTAACTTTGTAATTTATAGACTTAAGAGAAAATCCCCTTCAGTTTCACAAATGCATCTAGAACAAATGTGGGCCCTGTAGCCTAACAACCTATAATCAAGGACGGGTAAGCACCTAAAGATATAAACTTTGTGGTAGTAAACTTACCTGATATAGACTTTCTATAACAATATCAGTATTTCTGTTACTAAAGAACATAGTCACTCTTGTACTCACTGAGTTAGAACACATTACTGTCCTTAACATCACATAACTTAAGAGGGAAACTTAACCACTCCCATCATGTAACGAGTCAGATGCAAACAATCAAGTCCTGATAGACTTTATTTCCTTTGTATTTTCTAAGGGTTTCCATGGTGTCTATACATTATAAAAGTAAAATATGAAGACTCACAGAAATACCCATGGTACCAAATGCCAAAATTCACAAAATCTTCATGTTTGAAGTTGTATTCAGGGATACCCCAAGGCAAATTTTTATTTTTAACTCAACCAAGTTTATAGAGAACAGAATTTGAGAACCGGGTAATATAAAATATTTCACAGAAATATGAAGCAAAATATCAATACATCCTAGAGCTGAAAGTTGAATATGAATAATCTTGGGTCAACTTTAGTAGACATGGCATCTCTGAAGTTTTATCAGATATAAGTAACTCCAGAAGAAATGCAGAATACAATATTATATTCAAATACATCAAGACACACATATACATACATCTTGAATATCTTACATATGTAACATTTATGTACAAATCCAGTACAGCTTTAAAAAGTAATTTTACATGGGAATTATGTCTTTGTGCTATTTCCCAGTGTTCTTTAACATTTACATTTAATTTTGTAGTTAAATTTTTTTTAATGTATACAAAGTTTTTCCCACATATACACCTGTGCAGTAGCTGTATGCCCGGTCTGTCCGTCCGTGTCTCCCCCCCCCCCCGCCAGAAGGCGCTGCATCCCTTGACTGAAGTTTGAGACAGGTGTGAGCTGCCAAGTGGGTGCTGGGAACTAAGCCTGGGTTCTCTGGAAGAGCAGCCAGTTCTCTTAACTACTGAGTCATAATTCCAGCCCCCATATTTAATATTCAATTAACAGTTAAATAACTCACGCAAAATTGCCAGTAAACTGGAAAATACATTCTTTCTGAAGTCCACAGGGCAAGTGATAACTTCGTTTACATTGGGGTATAACACATCCAATTGAAGCACCATTTTTCTTGCAAACTGTACACTTCTAAAAGAAATATGAAAACAGGAGCATAATATAAAAATTTTCAGTACTATAGTATGATCAAATGAGTATTCCTTGCAGAGAGACTAAAAGCTATTGCTATACTGATAGTATATGCATTTCTAACACAAATGAGAAAATTTGAAGATATGTGCTGGGTAAGTTTTTTTTTTTTTTTTTTTTTTTTTTTTTGTCATTTTGACATAGCATACAGTCGTCTTTGGAGGGAACCTCAGTTGAGAAAACACCTCCATCAGATCAGCCTGTAGGCAAGTCAGTGGGGGCATTTTCATGATCAGAAATTGGTGTGTGGGGACTCAGCCTGCTGTGGCTGGGCAGGTAATCCTGGGTTGGATAGGAAAGCAACCCAAAGCAAGTCATGGACAGTAAGCCAGTAAGCAGAATTCCTCCATGGTCTCTGCTTCAATTCCTACCTCTAGGTTTCTGTTTGAGTTCCTTCCCTCAATGATGGTCTGTAACATGGAAATGTAAGATAAAATATAGTAGGCAGGCATGGTGGCACACGCTTTTAATACCAGCACTTGGAAGGCAGAGGCAGGAGGATCTGAGTTCGAGGGCCAGCCTGGTCTACAGAGTGAGTTCTAGGACAGCCAGAACTATACAGAGAAACCCTGACTTGAAAAACCAAAAGATAAAATATACCACTCCTCACCAAGTTGCTTTTGGCCATGGTGTTTCTTATAGCACTAGAAAGGAATCAGGTGGTCACCCATGGGATACTAAAACTCAGAAAACACCAGCGTCTGTGAATTGAGGTGGAAACAAACTTTTTGCATATGGAATTATTCAGGGTCTCAAGGTCTCTTGTGATTAGCGTCTTTACCAAAGAAAAGACAGGTCTAAAGCACAAGACACTTGGAAAACAGGCTGTGTGAAGACAAGAATTACATGAACAAGGGATAGCAAAAACTATCAGCAGCCATTTTGGGGCGGGAACACAGGAAGAATTCACTTGGTAATCTTTAGCAAGCTCCAACTTGCCCAACATTATGTTTTATAACATTTAACTCGTGAGGGATTGTATTTCTGTAATTTCTTATGGCAGCCCAGGGAAAATAAGACCAGTGTCACTAACCATAACTGTGGCACATTTAGACAATAATTACAGTATATAGCTGAACCTAAACATACCTTGGAGCCCTTATAATGGTCAATGATTCAGGGATTACAGTCTCCCAGCTAACTCACAAGTCATCCAGGCCATAGGAGAACCCTGGAGAACCTCCTGACTCTGCCAGTGAACTGACACAAGGGGGAAGGGACAAGGAAGGGGAGCATCCTCTTCAGATCAGAATACCCTCAAAGGCCTCAGTATACACAAGAGGATTTACATGTTTTAAGAAAATTGGTAGCTACAAAAACTTGTTAGGGAGAATTAATTACCCTTAATTCCAAGTTTGTGATTAAGAAGTTAAGGACTTTTGATACTAGTATCCCCTTGGTTCTTTGGTTTGTGGTAACCATTCAGACAATGTTTCTCTAGAGCCCTAGATCCTCTATTTTCCCAAAAACTTGTCTTGTGCAGAAGTGACTGTCTCCACTAAAATAAATGCTTTATATGCTCCTATGTAAGCCTTCATGGATGACACTGCTTTATTTTCTCATCTACCTTATTTTTCACATCTGGCACCCAGTGAGGATATGACTATGGAGGCAGGGTGGAGAAACACCTTTCTTAGCTCTGTTAAGACTACAGAGCATCCTTGGATCTTCTCACTTAAAGAAAATAAGCTCAGTTGTTTGTGACTAATGACATCTAGTCTTCTTTACCTCTATCTTCTCTTTCCCAGTCTTTCCTCCAGACTTTGGAACCTGAGTCAAAGGCTTTCTCTGTACCTAAACTCTTGTCATTAACCTAAGTGACTTGAACTTTTTTGTGACAACCTCTGAGTTTCTGAAGAACTTAATGCTCTTTGCCCCCACTTAAGCAAAATGATAAATTATCACATGTCCCAAGCCATTCATTATGGAAAATCACTATTTCAAGTGTCACATTAAGAACTTCTCATATTTTCAACTTTTTCAGTCTTCAACTCCGATTATTTTTACTCAGACCAAATACAGACTAGAGTTTTTTCCTTGCAGATACCATAGTAATTATCATTTGGAAGCTTCAAAAATAACTGAATAAGCAATAGGTTAAATTTAGGACACATAAAGAAAGGTCATTAGTGTTACAAAGACAAAAAGATTACCAGTCTACATGGTTGTGTAATTTCTACCTTAACCCATTATTCCAATCTCAACAGCTGTGGTACAGGAATCAAAAGGTACATGGGTGAGCAGACTCTACAAAGGACTATGGATCAACAGAATTAAACTATAGTCATAACTCACAATAGCTAAGATATCCACCAACCAATAAAGACACTATGATTGATACAATTTTATTCAGTCATAAAAAAGTGAAATCATGGTCCTGGAGAGATGGCTCAGTGGTTAAGAGCACTTGCTACTCTTCCAGAAGACCAATTCCTAGCACCCACATGGCAGCTCACAACTGTCAGTGACTCTAGTTTCAGGGGACCTGATACCTTCACACCAATGCACATAAAGTTAAATAAATGGATAGAAGTGGAAATCACTGCATGAAATAAACTAACCTCAGATGCTGTAACATGTTTTCTCTTATATGCAAATCCTACATTTTAGTGTGTGAGAAAAATAAAAGAAAGGGAACCGGGCATGCTAGTTTTGTCAAACTAAAACAAGCTAGAGAAGGAGGGAACCTTAACTGAGAAAATGACTCCATAAAAATCAAGCTATAGAGATGATTATGGGGCATTTTCTTAATTAATGATTGATGTGGGAGGAGCCAGCCCATTGTGGGTGGGGCCACCTCTGGGCTGGTGATGCTGGGTTCTATTACAACAGCAAGCTGAGGGAAGCTGTAAGGGCACACTAGTAAGCAGTGCCCCTTCACAGCCTCTGCATTCTTACCTCCTGCTCCCATGTTCCTGCCCTGTTTTGAGTTACTATCCTGAGTTCTCTTAATGAACACTGGTGTGGACATATAAGCCAAATAAACCCTTTCCTCTACAAGTTGCTTTTGGTCGTTTCATCATAGTAATAGTAACTAAGAGGAACCGTAAGAAAAGAGATTGCTCCAGAGGGCAGCAGACTCTTAATAAGGGATCTTAAGTGTTCAATCATAAACATGACTTTTCTTAGCCTCTTCACGAGGGATATAAGAAGCAGAATGGTCCCTTTGGAACATGGCATTGCTTTGTCCTCATTCTCACAGCAGTTGTGACCATCGGCACAAAAGTACCACAAAACTGGCCTATCAGCATCCTATCATGGTGTGAGAGAAGAATTCAAGATTTCCTCCAACGCCCGACTTGTTTAGGTAAATAATGGCAGCTAGGCAGTTTAGAGGCCCCAAATGTGTCTGAGTATCTACAGGTAGTTAATGGTTACTAGGGGAGGAGGGACATTTTTTTCCATGGTATTAGCACTGTAAGAAAACCAAACCCCTATAATAAACCTTTACCCAGGATACTTTATGCAATCTTAATAAAACTCAGTTGGTCATCAAAAAATGAATAAGAACATGAAAGTAAAAGAGTAGGCAAAAAGGAAATGAAGGAAAATACAATAAAAATGTACCGAAATTCCATAATGTAAGTCATTAGCATGCATAATTAACATGCCAATAAAATAATTTTAATGGAATAAATGAAAGCAGACAAGTGAAGGGGTTGGGGAGAAAAAGACAACGTGTATGGGCCAACTTCAAAAATTAGAAAGAAATAAATACAAGTGAATAAAATGATGAAAAAGATGAATAGAAGTTCCCTACTGCTGAAATTTACTCTTCAGCAAAAATATAAAAACTTCTTTAAAACTTATAGTTGATAAAAATTCCCATTAGAACAAAACACCATAGACATAAATTTCTAGTACAGGAACTGATAGAAGAAACTTTGCAAGGCAACACCAGCAGTATCTGTAGTACTTAGTGTAATGAATAAAACAATTACTTACCAGTTTAGAAGCTCTATTGACTTCCTTCCTTATGTCTTCTACTAGAAAGCCATAAATTCCTTCTTCTTCTTTACCTCTCTGCCAAATTCCACTTGACATTAACTATGAATATATTCTCAATTAGGAAGAAATCAGCTTGGAATCAATACGTGTATATATATTATACTTTTCATGGCCAAATAAGAGGCAGCTGACACCAGTGGGCTTTGAAAATATTGTGTATTAACAGTGCATAACCATGAACTGATTCAAGGAAGAAAGCAGTAACAGGGAGAGAGAGGAGATAGGGCATGGAGGAAGGAATAGTCCTGATCAAGTGAGCGTTGGAGGAAACAGCACCTTATCAGTTATACTCTAGCATTCTTATTCCACTGGTAGTATTGCAGGGTTTTCATATTATTCATAACAAAACAGAATTTTAATAAGGCTAAGTCTGATGTTAGTACTTATGGCAGTTTGAGTAAGAATGGTTCGCATAGGTTCATATATTTAAGTGCAGAACCACCAGGGAGTAGAACTATTTGAAAGAATTACAAGGACTAGGAGGTGTGGCCTCACTGGAGGAAGTATATTATCAAAAGTGGGCCTTAAGATTTCAAAAGCCCGTGCCAAGTACAGTCTCTCTCCCCCCTCTCTCTCTGCTTTCGGATCAGGATGTAGCTCTCAGCTACTTCTCCAGCACCATCTGTCTGGCTGCCACTATGCAGCCCGCAATGATGACTATGAACTAAACCTATAAACTGTAAACAAGTATCCAGTTCTTCACAGCAATAAAACAGTGACTAAGACAGTTCTCTTGATTATATTAAAGCAGACTATAAATAAAATTCTAATACTAGTAAAAATGCTGAGTAATTAAAATACATCAATAAAAGCAGTTTATAATTAGTAAAGTGTGTTTTAGTCTCAATAATATCCTGAAATACAACTAGTACATACATATTTGTCTAAGACTTAGGTATAAGAAATAATCTATTGACTAATAGTAACAATTCTAAGTCTTTGTAAAAAGAAAAAAAAATAAAAGGTTAAGTGGAAATTTTTTTGTTACAACATAAACAGACTCCAATGCCAACTTTGTGTTCTCTTAAAGACACAGTATGAAATGATTAGACTCGGACTAATCCACAAGTACCCTGAACTTTGGTGTTAACTGTCAGCCACAGAACCCGAGTATGTCAGTGGGGGTGGGGGTGTGTATGTGCCTTGGCTGCTTTAACTGGGGTGGGAAGACCTGTGCACTGTGAGTGGTGCCATTCCCTGGCTGGGACCCTGGACTGAAGAACTGGAGAAGAACTGAGCATTACAGATGTTTTCTGGCTCTCCGCTTCAAATCAGACAATACACTGGGTCAGTTCTCAAGCCCTACCATTGTGCCTTCTCCACCAGGACAGCCTGCGGTGGGTCTGGGAGCCAGAACAAAGTCTGCTTCCTTCAGGTTGTTCAGGGCATTTTATCAAAGCAACAGGAAAAGAGCCTAAACATAGTATCTGAGACAACCCCTGCCTTGTTATTACCAATGAATAATTTAGATGATTTCCCAGGAAAGTACCAGACTAAGCTCAATAGCATGGATGATGACATGCTTACAAATATGTTGATGAATTTACTGATTCGCCTTTAAGAAGTGAAGCTTAATTTACCTTCTCCTTTAATACAGGATAAAAAGTAACTCAACTGTGACACAGACAATAAAGCATTAGTGACAATGATGTGTGAAAACTAGGTAGGTGATGGTTTCATCTAGGGTCTTCTTCAACACCCCTTCCCCCATCTCTGTCATAATTTATTTTGAGGGAAGCCATGATACACTGTGACAAGTCCCTCTAAGAAGCCTAGGAGGTAAGGAGCTGAGCCTCTTGTCAGGGACAACTGTGGCCAAAAGCTTGTGAGAAAGCCATTGGAAGAGACTGCCAGCTTTTTAGTAAAGTATTCAGATGTATATGGGTGACATCTAAATTAGAAATCACATTAACAACTCAGTCAAAACTATCCAGAGAATAAATGCAGCTTTCCTCTGTCAAATTTCAGAATAATTTCTATAGCAGCCACAAAAAAATAACTTGGTTTCAAATAAAGTGGGAACTGGTCTAAAATGCCACAACCTCTTTCATTTCAGTCTTCGAAATGGGACCAACAGAGGGAGAGGAAACAAAAGGAACTAAATATGAGTGAAGTCTTTCTTTGCTTTTCCACTGAGTAAATCATATTATCGCCTGTTTCCTTTCTACTAGTATTAATTACCCTCGCCAAAACTTTTCTTTCCAGGTGCTCTGAGAAATAAAATACTATCCTTTTACTTCCTGAACCTTCAAACAAGTCTTTTCTGTGACATATCACTAGCAACAAAAAAAACAGTGGTAAAAAGGGCACCATTTTCTCCTTTTTTTAAAAAAATAAAAACGGGTAAGGTTAAGTAATCTGAGAATCTTAAAATATGGTATAAAAATCTTATTTTATAGAAATGGATAGATTCAGAAACTAAATGATTTACCGAATTCTTAGAAATCAGTGTCATAATTTTCTCTTTGGAATACACTTTTAAAACTAGAGTATACTCACCAAACAGTAATAATGGACACTGAAATTCCATTTCTCATAAGTTTTCTTTTCTCCATATTTATTGGGACAATCATCATTTTTTCGACAGAAAATACAAGCTAAAAGCAAAAAGTAGGAAATAAAATACACCTTAAAATTACAAAATAACTTACAGAATTATGCTTCTTTGATGTATATACATATGTGAATGGTGGCCATGGTACACACATGGTGTTAAGGACAAACTCAGGTGTTTCAGCACTCCCTTTCCGGCTTAGTCAACACAGGGCTTCTGTTGCCACTTGCCACTGAACATAACAGGTAAGTTGACTCTTGAGTTTCCAGCCAGTGCCGGGTCTGTGCCTCACATCTTCCATAGAAACACCAGGAGTACAGCAGTGTGCCACCATGCAGAACTTCATGTGGGTTCTGGAGATCAGACTAGCATGACAAGTACTTTACCTACTGCTAAAAATCCCCAGCTGCTAAATTTTCTCTAGGTGGACAATGGCCTTGGGTGGTTCGTGTCTACTCTACGGTTACAGACTACTACTCCAAAAGAAAGTGATATAGACCTCATCCCCAAATAAAAGTGATTATGTTTTGGTCTTGTGGTAGCTCCCTAAGGGATGGGGTTAAATGCTTGTTTGCTTTGCCAGCATCAGTATCTGCTTAGGGTTAAAACAAAAACAGTAGCAACAAAAGTCTAGGGCAAGCAGCTGACAAAAACCTAGGAAAGAAGTTGGGAACATATGTACTGCAGAACACAGGGGATCAGGTGTGCACCCATGGACATCTGTGCTCATAAAGATCCAAGAAAACAAAAATTGATTGCTGGAGGACCTTGAAGTGCATTCATATCCAATACATTAAAAAGACCTCGAATCAGGTTGAAGAAATGCCTCAGTGATTACCAGGTTCAATTCCCAGCACCCACATGACAGCTCACAACTGCCTGATAACTCCAAGATCTGACACCCTGACATATGCAGGCAAAACGCCAATACACATAAAATAAAAATAAATAAAATTAGCTGGGAAGTGTTGGTGCACACCTTTAATCCCAGCACTCAGGAGGCAAAGGCAGGCAGATATTCATGCATTCAAGGCCAGCCTAGTCTACAAAGCAAATTCCAGGACAACCAAGGATACACAGAGAGACTCTGTCTTGAAAAACCAAAGACACCTTGAATCACTAAGGGCCTTGAAGGCACAAGACATTCTACTGTGTTCATTTTTATAGCTGACTAAAATTCAGTAAACTGTTCCACTTCATTATATTTACTGTTAAAACTACCTTTTACCAAAGCAAATATTTGTTTCTATTAAGCACACTGATTTAATTTATCTATGGGGAAATTAAGCAAGTTGGAATAAGGGTATATTCAACAAGTATACAATGGCATTACATAAATCACTAAAATTTCAAAACCACTGGCATTGTTTATATAACTTAGCAGGCATAACCAAAAAAAGACAAAGATATGTAGGGTATATAGGGATTGGTAGGAGCGAATTTCCTTGTTCAAAGTAAGGTAGAGTCAGTCAGTAGATATATACTAAGAGCTAATAAGGCTGAGGAGATGACTAAGCTGGTATAAGGTTTATCACACAAGTATGAGGACCTAAGTTTGAATGTGTAGCACCTATAAAAAGCCAGACTAAATTGTACATGTCTATAATTCCTGCATCAAGGAGGCAGAAACTGATGGGTCCCTCGTCAGCTAGTTGAGCCAAATGGATGAGCTCGAGATTTAGTGAGATGACCTATCTCAAAATATAAATTATTAGTTAATTAATTAAGCTGGGCATGGTGGCACACACCTTTGATCCCAGTACAAGGGAGACAGAGGCAGATGGATTTCTTTGAGTTCAAGACCTGGTCTGCATAGTGAGTTAGATATAGGCCAGTCAGGGACAAGAATAATGAGACCTTGTCTCAAAAGAAAAAAGAAAAAAACAAAAGCCCTACCTCGACTAAATGAGGGAGTTGCATAGTGACACAGATATATACAGTAATAATGTAGACCTCCTCATCATACGTGATACAAGTCAGCAGACACTGTTCATAATAAAGAAAACAACTACGTACCAACAGGGAGATTGTTGTAAATTTAAGAATTTTCCTTTTTGTGTTAGACTTTTTTTGTCTATTGCTTATCACTGTCCTCATTTATCAATGGAAAAACCATGAAAAAAATTAAACAATAATTTTCTCAGATTCAAATTCTAAATGTATTTCATATGAAATACACAAAAATAAATTTGACAAAAATGTCTTCTGGTAACAAATTTAGTTTGTGGAAATGTACACAATCATAACAGAACATATTAACTAAGAATGCATTAGAATATTCATTCTTACTGCCTAGATAGCATCCTAAATGGATTTTATTGCAATAAAAATGTTTTAAATACAGTTACTTACCAAGATTTTGTGAGTTATCTGGTTTATTTTCATTCATTTTACTACGAAAAAAATAAGAACATTGATATCTTAATTTCAGAAATCTCTCAATGATTTTTCTTAAATTCAATCGTACATGTTTATATTCAACTCATATATAATCATTTCATACTATATAATACAGTACTTTTCTCACTTTTTGAACAAATAGAGTTCAAAAAGAGTGGTAGAATTTGAGGATTTCTTTAACACCAGAAAGAATATTTTATTATTAAAACAAATACTAGGCCAGTGGTGGTGGCACACACCTTTAATCCTAACACTCTGGAGGCAGAGGCAGGTGGATCTCTGTGAGTTTGAGGCCAGCCAGGGCTACAAGTGAATTCCAGGGCAGCCAGGGCTGTTACACTTAGACACCCTGTCTCAAAAAACAAAAAACAAAAGACAAATACTAGGATTGTGGGATGATGCCCTGCAGGGCACCACAAAGTCCTACACAACGGAGAACTGCCTGGATCTCCATACTCCTACAGTGCATTACAAATCATTATTTGCTGAATGTGACTGATACGTATGACTATACAATAACTCTAGAATACATTTTCTTTACTAAAAGATCCGTTTCTTTGTTGTTATATATTCTTGGCCTTTTCCAACTACAAAGACTCAAGGAGTCTCTCTTGGTGAATGATGTCATAAAGGTCTGACCAACTCTTTTTACAACAGACAACCATGTTAAACTTAAAAAAAAAAAAAAAAAGAAAAAAAAAGTCTGAGGTTTCTTTTCTGTTCATTGCTCCTTACCATAAGATTATCCAGTGTATGTCAGTATCAAACTTTAGTTTTTCTATTCATATCAATGCCATTACTTGTGCAATAGTCCCCAGTAGTAGACCAGTACTTTTACAGTCATTTGGTTTTGTCTCAAGAGAACCCTGTTGGTTCCTCTGCTCTGTAATTTCATTGCAGAGCTAGTATACCTAGCTTTATTAACTACAGGCTTACTCCTAGTGTTTTTATACCAGTCCATGCAAATGGTAGAAAATGTACTAAATCAAGATACAGGACACACACACACTATTTTCTTATCCTGTAATTTTTTTTCTGAGATTGAAATCAAAACAATTACCCAACTACTTGACACTCTAAAGAAATTATATCAATCATATAGTTTACACTATATTATTTTAGAGAGAGGGTTTTACTACATAGTCCTGGCTGGCCTTGAAATCTCAGAAATCCACCTGCCTCTGGCCTACAAGGTGCTGGGATTAATGGTGTGGCAACCACATCCAGCTTTAGTTCATATTTTTAACGTTAGACTTTAGTTCCTTGATTTTGAAATAAACTTTTAATTTAAAGTCCAGATTTAGGATCTCCATCTCACATTAGGGACTAAACTCAGGCAACCTAAATGTTAGGCACATGTTCTACCGTTAGGTTCATTTCACTTTAGCCTGACAAGGGGACTGAACTATACAGGATGACATCCAACTTGCAAGCCTCCCTCAGACTCCCTATTACAGAATCACTTTATTTCAAAAAAGTCTACAGAATGAAACCTAAGCAAAAAAAAAAAAAAAAAAAAAAAAATCAAACAAAAACCATAAGTTACCCACATATTTTTAAGGTTATGTATCTCAATAGCACTTCCAGCATCAGTCTAAGAAATAATGTCAAACTCTTCCTTGAGAAACCACTAACAACCCAGTGAAGTTCCAAAAGGCCATCATCAAGATGTGCTCTAAGTCTCTCCCAGAACTTAGCCCACTTCACTTTGATGTTTCAGAAGGCAAGGCCTGGTGCCCTAAACTGTGATTAGTGCCTGCTAACATAGCCTCACTAAAAGCCAAAAATGACACCCCAGACCTAAATATGAATTACATATCTATCAGTATATCTTGGCTGGGCATGGTGGTGCCGATCTAAACTAACAGTTGGGTGTCTGAGTTCAAGGCTAGACTGGTATACACAGTGAATTCCTGATCAGCCAAGACTGTAAAATGAGACCCTATCTCAAAGAAAAAAAAAAAGCATTTCTAGAAAAAACAAACAAGAAGGTCTTTGTTAAGCATGCATTAAGATTTGTTAGAGAGGGGAGGGAGGGAGAGGGAACTGGGATCGACATGTAAATAATAAATTAAATTAAGAAAAATGCTTTGACTCCAAAATTTAAGTTGAAGGATAAGTTACTGGGGAAAAGGATTTCTATTTTTGTTTCCACAGAAAATGAAAAGCTGTGGATTCCTTCCAGACTAATGTGGTTTGATCACGCAAGTCCGCCTGAAACAGAGTACAAGGTGATCCTACATTCAAAACAGCTGGACAAAACAGACTACAGCCAGGATATCTGAATCTTCTTCGAATCCCCTATGACAGCGCCCCCTACCAGCAGGAAGTAGTTTGGAAAGAACGACGCCCAAATTCCCAAATATTGTGTATAAATGTTTGTTTTCATTTAATTGGACTTTGTTATATAAAATTAAATAAAATATTAATAATAATAATAAAAGTTTTGTTAGAGAGGCCAGGTGGTATTATAATCCCAACACTGGGAAGGCAGAGGCAGGTGGATCTCTGTGAGTTTGAGGCCAGCCTGGTCTACAAGAGCTAGTTCCAGGATAGCTTCCAAAGTCACAGAGAAACCCTGTCTTGAAAACAAAAAAAGATTTGTTAAGAGAGCTGGGGAGGTGGCCCAACAGTTAAGAGCACTGCTCTTGCTGAAGACCAGGCATGTATGTGGTACACAGTCACACGTGCAAAACATTCATACATATAGAGAAATGTTTAAAAATGAAAGATCTTTTAGGGCTTTGACGGTAAGATGGTGAAGAGCAATCAGCTTCTTTAATTGCTTCTGGTGTGTGTGAGTCAGAATAACAAAGAACAGACTAGTCTTAAAATTGGAAGAGCAATAAAAAAATATAATTTCTTGTAAATGTTCAGATCATAATGAAAGACTAAAAATCAACAGCAAGAAACTACAGACAGAAATCACATACTATGAAGCCAAATCACTAGATCATTGATTGATGAACCTAAAGAAATTTAAAAACTCAAATTCAAAAATATTTTAGAATCAAGTGAAAATGAAAATGTAACTTATTGGAACCTTTAAGAAAACAGTAAAGGCTTTAGCTCAGAGGCTCAAGGCCAGTGGGAGGGAGTATCTAGTCGCTAGAAAAGAAACAGTAAAAGCAGAGGAAAGTTCATGGCTATGCGTGCTCTGTCATTAAAGTCAGAACTCGATGACGCTCTTCAGACTTAGAAAAACAAACAAAGTGCCAAAGCAGCAGACAGAAGGAACAGAACAAAATTAGTACAAGAGTCACAAAGATGCAAAGAAATGATTTGAAATATGATTGACACTCAGCCAAAGTAACCAAAATAGAAAACCAAAATTAATAACAACTATGAAATGGGAGACTAATTAGGCTGAAAACTTTCAGCTACTTTTCCTGTTGTGATATGATATTCTTTTTAACTAGGCAGTGGCTTTACATTATAAATGTACTGTCGCCCAACTGCATATTTACAATGGTTAATTTCATGTTTGCTCTACCTAGAAAATGTTAAACCTATAATGATTTCTATCAAATATTGGATGAAATCATATTCACTGCATACAAATGTCCCAAGCAGCTTTTTCTGTAATGGCTAAAAACCCGTCAATAGACGGATAGCACATTTGTACAATGGAATATCATGGTTTAGTTAAAATGCATTTAATTAAACCCTTAAGATGGGTGAAATTTACTACCTACAAACTGAATTACCAGGTAAATTTTTATATTAGTGATACCCCTTTCAACTAAAAGGAAAGCTAATTTAGTTACCAGTGTGTACACATGTTACAAATGACCCTGAAGAAATAGCTTCTCTCTTCTACATACTGGGTCATTATGCCCACTGCTTATGATTCTAATGCCACCCTAATGCAAAAAGATCTCTGTAGTTTGCATTCCAGAATCTTGTAGTATTACAACTCTAAAATTCAAGAAGACATCATGTTAGTGATCTAGACTATGCCAGGTACACAAGGTCGGATTAAAAAACACACACCATCTTCTCTGAAGAAGGTGTATCTGATGGTAGAATACTGTATGCTCCAGATAGCCCCACACATTGGTCTTTAGAAGGATGTCCCAACATTGGACAGGTTTTTACAGAAAAGATAAAGGCAAGATGGACAGGTCTTAAGCTTGTAATTAAAAGGAACAGTAAACTTTTCTGTTTTTTAGTTCTATCACACTCATTATTTATTATACTGTACAACACTCACTTCACAAACAGATCAAATATAAAAAATACATTTTAAAAAGTATTACACATTTTGGTCCCTCTAATATAGGACTAATAAGTATTATCAGGCTTAACTGAGAAAATATGTGTAAAATATTTAATATGTCATGGATATGAATAAATACTGGTCTTTTGCCTTATTTGAACTTTCTCCAGAAGTTATTTCAGTATTTCTCAAGTTTGGCTGTATATCACTTGAAAACAATTTGCAATTAGACTGTGTGCAGCCAGGCTGCAAAGGACATTATACTGAAGAAAATGAGAAGCCATTGGAGAAGCTGGAGACAGACAGGAAGCCCTACTTGCAAAAATTTTTATCTTACAAAGATCAGTAAGGTGGAGGAGTATGGATCAGTAAAGGCTCTAGCCACCAATCCTGAGAACACCTTAAAATGGCAGAGTAGAAGGGGGGGAAATTATTCTCACAATGGATAATCACCAGGATACAGGTTCTCTTGGTCTCTACACAGACCACAATGCCTCTACTCTGCATAAAGCAGACAGGCACACAGACACTCACACACTTAATTTTTTAGTTAATCTAGTTTCTGATCTTCACTTATTAATTATAAAAGAACAAATTACTGGATCTTTGTTTATGTAACTGAAAACTGTAGGTACCTCATATACACTGTAAAGGCCAATGAAAGTACATATATTATGGTTGTACCATGTTTTGTAGCTAGACTTTAGACATCTGTTCTCATTTACCATGTATCATACACATGAGCTAGCCCACTGAATTCCCACAATAATCCCACAAGGAAATTTATGGACAATATACATTTAAGGGACTTGAATCAGATAGATGCTTAATAGCTTCCCCAGCCAAGATCACACAGCTATGAGGTACAAGTGATTGAATTATAAACAAGAAGTCCGGTTGCAGTTGCACGTCTTTAAGCAGTATATACTACCAAGCTTTTCTAAGAAGACCATATTTTTAAACCTTTGGCAGAATATTCTAACTTTTCCATTTAAATGCAATTTACTCCGGACCTACAAAGTTAGAATCTGTGAAGTGTGAGTACAGGCATCAGCATTCACAGAGCCTTCATAGGCGTATGCATACAATAAAGTATGACACTGCTTGATGTAGGTAGGTAAAAGAAAAACCAAGGAAGAGACTGAGAGTGAAAAGCACATTAAGGATACAGAAAAACTAAAACAGGTGACTTGCTGGTAGTACGTATGAAGCTCGAAGATTTGTCTACAATCTTTGGAAAAATGGAGAGCCACTATCTTTGTGGTACCCTCATGAAAAACGACTTCAATGGTCGTGCTGTTTTAATTTTTTTCTTCCTGGGGTACACTGAAAACAACACTTATTAGCAGGGATGGGGGAAGATGAAGAAATGATGTTAGTGCCTCTTTTAAAAATAATATTTATTCATTTTCATGAGACATTAGCCAGTTAATAAAACCTTAAAGGGACCTCTATTATCTTTTTTCTACAAAGCACAAATTCAACCTGACAATTTTCACTAAGGCGAATTATAGAACTTTTAAACTTCTAAAATACTCAAAAGTTCACATTCACCGTGCACATCCAAGCTATTCAAAAAGGTACGGCTTTTTGTCGGGGTTTGTGAGAATCCAGTTCATCACAAAAGACCAACAAAAAGAAAAGGTAAACAAAAACGCTCGAAGAAAACTCAATTTTTGATGCATCGAGTTCCTCTTAAAATAACTCCATAATAACAGAGTCAGCCAATGAATGAAGAGGGCGAAAAGGCAGGCGGAGAGACTGGACCCCTATCCCCATTGTTAGCAAAGTAACATCTGTGAGCCACCGCTGTTACTGTAGCCAGTTTAAATGAGCAAAGAGGCTCAGATTTTTGCGGTACGGGAGAAATGTCAAAGCGTGAAAGAAAAATACCCCGGTTTTAAACACAAAGGATACTCAGATTTCAGCTTAAATCCCCATGAGGCATTTCAAGGCTGTCATTTCTCTGCGGTGCGGGGGACCGATCTGAGGGGTAACTGGGAGCCGGGTCGAGCATCCCTCCTTGCAACCCGCCCCACCTTCTGTCTTTAATTAATAAAGGGTAGCTAGCTCCCCCACCTACGGCAGCTCGGGGCTCCAGCCGCGGCAGTGCGCACTGTGCAGCACAGGGAGTAGCCCGCAACGCGCACGCCTTTTCGGCCACCCGTGCCAGGACCCTCCGTCCCTCCTAGCCATGTCCTCACCAGGCGCGGAGCAGAAGTCCCAGGGCCGCTGCGTGACCGCCCGTGTCTAGCGCTGCGTTGCCGTACGCCCACCCGGCGCAGCCCCATCCAACGGCTCGCAGAATTCAAATTCGCCCACTTCCGTTTGCGACCCGGAAGGCACGGCTGCTCCGCTCCGCCCCGCCCCGCCCCGCCGCTGAGAAGTGGGCGGGAGGGTGGCTGCGTCTGCGCCGTGGCATCTGGTGTGAACTCGACAGTATGCGGTGCAGTGTCCTATGGTGCATGAGGTGCGTTGCGAGGAAAACAACTTCTTGTGCTAGGCCGGGAGACCAGCCAAGTGCCCCAGTCAGCCCCAACAGGCTGGACCGAAAACAGGTTTACCCCATGCTAATGTGAACGCTAGTGAATGCTTGCTGCCCTCTCGCGTCAGGGATTCCTTTGCATCACAGTCCCCTATTGTCCTGGGAGATTCTTGCTGGGCCCTGGGGTGTCGGTTTTCTTGAACGAGAGCCAGGATAAAAGTTTTAATCCCTACTGTTTTTGACTTCTACAAGGATTTTGGTTCCTCAAGCAGACTGCTGAAAGAACACCACTGTAAACATTAGAGCTGGGATCAATAGTGATCAGCTAATGCCTGAGAGCACTGATTCAAAGTTGCCTTCCTTAACAGCGTTGGGTCAGCATCTTTTAAAGATTTGCTGGATTTCTAGAATCCAAACACCCGAATTCTAGGTATCTGGCAGGAAGGTAGAAAGTTACTTGTTAACCGATGTAACGTTGCTAACAGTGGGAAATGAGAAATGATCTGTCCACCAATAAAGAAATGTTAAATCATGATATTTTAGGATTTCAAAATTCAAAGAAGATCAACGATATTGAAATACTGAGAAATCAACGTTAGAAGGACTGTAATAACTTTCCTTTGAAGTACGTGCGTATGTATGCATGGTAATACAAAGTTTCAGGATGGAACCTCAAACTGTACCAGTTATCTCTGGCAGAGAAGTTGGCAAATAGGGAGAGTATAGGGAGTTTCTTAAAAATGTTATAACCATCTGAATTTTCAGATTAAGAGTATTTGATACTGCCAATTTTGTTTTTTTGTTTTTGTTTTTTTAAGGAAAACTTTGAAATTGAATGTATTCTGGATACAGAAACAGGCATGTAAACATTCATACATCAGTGATTGAGTTGCTGCAGACATGAATCAGCAGCTAAGAGTAGTGGAAGCTCCTTCAGAAGTCATGGGCTCACTTCCCATCTCACGACCTGGAACTTTAATTCCAGGGGATCTGATTTCTTCTGGCCTCCTCAGGCACTGTATACACACGGTGTACATACTTGCAAAGGAAACACCCAAACACATAAAGTAAAATGAAAAAAATTAAGAATGACATAGCCACGTTGATATTCCTATATTTTGCTAATTAATGTTCCATATTAATTTGTGAATTCATTAAGTATGTTGAAGTTGAAGACAAAATATGTTTTCCTATGTATTTTACAATCCTTTGTACCTTCTCTCCAGTAAGTTTTACTTCACAGGAATTAAAATTTTCAACCTAACCTTTAAGCAAAATTAAATATTCTTGGGTAATCAGTTGATACAATCTAGATATCTTGATAGGTTCATTTTTCTTTGACAGTTAAAGAATTTAAAGGCATAGCAGTTACCATCAGAGAAATCTCAATAAACACCACAAACAGAATCAGCTATTGAAGAAAGGCAGTTAGAGGGGATGAGGAAACACACACATTCCAAGACCATGAGGGAAAAAAGTGCTCTGCAAAACAGAGTGGGGGACTCCAACTCTGGAAGCCAAAAATTCCATCTCTTCTCCAGGACTGGCTTTGTTTGTTTGTTTTTGTTTTGTTTCTCCAAAGAGTTTTCCTCTATCTAATGTAGAGTTGGTCAGTTTGAAGAAAAAAATGGGATTGTTGGTTGATCCACAGCTGTATCATGTCCTGATCTTGCCTGGAACTTGTTGAGCCAGTCCATCAACTGGGAGCCTGCAGGAGAGAGCCAGAAGCCTACAAAACTTTTATTTAAGCTGCCAGGTTTTTGTCTTAAGTCAGGAGGGTGAGGAAGAAACCTGCTGTGTTGGAAATTCACTTTAATTAACTCCCTATTGGGCCTGCCCCCCCTACCTGTCTGCCATCCTGGGAGTCTAACTCCCAGTCCCTTAACTGTGATACATCGGTTAATCTCTGGCGCCATCAAGGAAAAGAAAATATTCTACCTGGCTTCCTGTATTAGCCAGGAAAATAGCAAAATAGGCTGCCAGCAAAAGGTGTTGCCCAGATTTGATCTTGGCTAAAGATCTGGATTAAGGGTGTGTTTTTCTACTTCAAAGATCCAAATTAGAAGTAGATCTTCCCGCTTCAAATTAAGCAGAAATCCCTCACAGGTGTGTCCCCTCTCTGTTTCTGGGTTTTAAGTTATTCCAGATGTAGTCAAGGTGACAACCAAGAAGAGCCATCATACACCCACCCCCTTGTCAATTTCTAAATGAAAACAATAAGGGAGGAGGGGAGAAAAAAATCACCAGGTCCTAATAATGACTAAACATAACTGGAAAGTTTCTGCACACCGATAAGCCTCTCCACAATCCAGATTAGACAAAATTAAACTGAATTAGAAAAGGCCCACATTTAATGGATACAACCAACACTCCCAGATAGAGAGACAGGAAAACCACTTCTGTTTTCTGGTGGACAGTTTAAATACTCTGTGTGAGTTGTCTTGATTATCTCTGGGGGAGGGTTCATCATTTTGCCAGCTTCCTGAGATGCAGCTGGGTTTGGAGACAAATAGGGGAGGGAGTTTTGGATGGAACCGCCACAACAACATTCCAGGGCGTTTGGATATATAGATGCCAGGGGCAGGAGCAAAGCTTCAACCATAACATCCTAGATTCTTTGGGTATAAAAATGCCAGGAGATGGAATGAAGCTTCCACCGTAACAATAATTACCCATATACAATTACAAACATAATGCACATTTAGCCGGGTTATAACTATGCCTAATATAGTATAACTACCCCTCATACAACTGCAAATGAATTATAAGTTTAGAATAGGTGGCAATGTCCCCTGAGAGACATTCTTTTAGTATCTCAAACTTAAGTATGATAATTATTAATATTCTCTTAATTGATGTTATGTCACATGATAAAGAAATCGAGGAAAGAAAAAATATTGTACTAACACATTCTTAACAAAATAGAACAGAAGCACTCATGTCGATTATAATCCTCTTTTCTGTAACTGTCCAAGTGGGCTTAGCTGATATTTATAACTACCTTCTTCTATTACCCGTTTTGTATTTCCCCCATGCTTGGCAAGCACATCAGCGTGTCTTAGCTCTTTTCCCAGAGGAGTGACCTGTACCTATATTCCTGAAGGGTCTGTGCCCCTTGTCATCCTCTCTAGGTTAAGACTATTGTAGTTTCCCATTGACTTTAATCATAGGTCATGGTAGCACTAAGAGACAACCTACAGGATCTGCACATAATCTCTCTTACCTCAATTTTGGAGAAGCAACCCAATTTCCCATGATAATTTGGGTCAATCATCCCTCCTAACACTGTTACTCCTGTTGGCTTAAGGGCATCAGAAATCCAAAGTTGCCAGGAGAAAGAAGTCTGAGCTTCCAGTTCAATGGAATGTTTGTGTGGCTCCTGGAATGAACTCTCCCTGCTCTGGAGCTAAAATGTCTAGGCCAGCAGAACTTAAGGTGGTGGGAATAGGAAGCAAACATTTTCTGGTGGATCACAGGGGTGACAGTGGATGGAACTATTCCCTTTTCCACCCAGTGGATCCTGGCTATCAAATAAATTGTACCTTATATTGGATACTGATTCAGAGCATATACAACCTTCTGGAGAACCTTGCCCCAGCCATCCAGGCTGCTGGCATCTAATTTGCACTCTCTTGAAAAGGCCAGTCCATCTTCCTATCAGATCAGCTACTTCAGAACAGTCACGAACATGCTAAGACCAGTAGGTTCCATGATAGTGGTTCTACTGTCATACTTCTCTGGCTGTGAAGTGAGTTCTGTGGTCACAAGCAATAGTGTACAGAATATCATGTCAGTGGATTATACATTCTGTAAGTCTTTGATGGTTTTGGTAGAAGCAGTATGTGCAGGAAAAGTAAATCCATAACAAGAATAAGTATCTACTCCAGTAAAGACAAAACTTTGTCATTTCCACAGAGGAAGTGGTCCAGTGTAGTAAACATGTCACCAGTTTGCTGGCTGGTCACCTAGGGAATAATGCCATATCTGAGGCTCAGTATTGGTTTCTTTTGTTGGCAGATCTTGCACTCATCAGCAAGTTGTGAGAAGAATATTGTGAAACCCATGCATAACTCTCATCTTTGCCACCATGCCTCTTTCTTCATGGGCCGATTGGGCTTGAATGACTGAGGAAAGAAGATGACTGTCAATAGAACATGTCATCCTGTCTACTTGATTATTGAACTATTCAGCTGAAGTTACCTTTTGATGGTCATTTATATGGGACACAAGTTTCTTCACATCCTTCACCTATTTGGAGGGATCTATTCACATACTTCTTCCCCAGGTGTCTTTCTCACCCATTTTCCTATCATGCTTTTTCCAAGTTCATGACCAAGAGCCCATGAACCAATGAACAATCGCATTCTGGTCATCTCTCCTTCCAAACAAAATGTAGGGTTGTGTGCACTGCCTGAAATTCTGTCCACTGTGAAGATTTTCTTTTGTCAGCATCTTTTAGGATTGGCCCAGAAGGGGCAGCTGTGCACTTATAGGTGATGTCTGCAAAACATGCAGAATCATTAGTAAACCAGACCCTAGTCTTCTCTTCCTCAGCCCATTGATTATATTGCATACCCCATTAGGCTATAGATGCATGCTTGGCAATAGACTGCTTTATTAAAGAAGTAGAAACTGTAGACATTTGGGTAACTTCTTCATTTAAGTTGTCTACCTTCAAGGACCTGCTCAGGCTCAATAACTTATATACCAGTTCCATTTAATAATAGATCACTATCATGCACATTCTATTTTATGACTTGGTGGGTCAGATAACACCCAGATCATGATGGGCAGCTCTGGTTACATGGTAATTTGATAGCCCATTGCAAAATGTTCAGTTTCCACTAAGGCCCAAATTTGGGCTGGGTCTCAAAGGGAGAACC